GAATTCTTTTGCTGCTAAAGTTAGAAGCGACATTTAGTGGATTTAAGCACTCTAGAGGTGCAGTTGTTGAGAGAGAGAAAAGGTACTTTGTCTATTAGACTCGAGGATTCCTGTAGCAAAGGGAGACCATTAATGTTTCCTTATTTTAAAAACAAACAAAAAAACCTCCCAAAGCCTGGCAGATGTTGCTTATGATGAGAGATGTGTTGGCTATGTATTGCAGTTCTTCAGATTCAGGAGCTGCACTCAATCCCATCACTGAAATCTATTTGCTGGTTTTTTGACAGCTGTTTTTGCCATTTATTTTAAAAGCAGATGGGGAAAATGCAAAGAAGAGCTGTCAATTTTATTACCATGTATAATCAGCATCTGTGCAATGCATCAGACTCATTGCACAGCTTAAACTTTCTCTCTGTAGTAAAATTCCTTTGGGATTTCTTGGTGATCTTCTTGCAAGACTTTTTGTAAATTAAAAGATACTGGAATTAAAAAGATAGATTAATTAGCTGCTAAAGCCACTATTGTATTGCCCACATTTACTTAATCAAGATGTTATGTTCTAATTGCTTAATTATAAAATATACAACTAATTTGCTCCTTCATATTCAAATTCATGTTTTCTTACAAATATGTTTTGGTTTATTTCATCATTACAAAATACTTGTTATTGTCTCTGATCCATTTACATGCATTTAGGTGCAGAACATCTCTGTGAAGTTTTTTTTACCATTCTCTACTGAGCGGGCTTAGTATCTTGTACCCCATCTGCATGATTGAAAGTAAAAATGATTCTGTAGAGAAAAGAGTGTTCTTAATTCCCAGTCTACCCTCTTTTCTGGTGCAGCAGTCCTTCACAGAAATGACTTTTATAGTGGGAAAGTAAGCTAGTCTAAAAGTGTCAGTATAAATAAGCATGTTGTCTGTCTCCGTAAGTGCGGAAGTAGTAATCAGTAATGGTGTGTTGCAGGCTTATAGTAGAGAACAGCATCCTCCTGGAAAGTGTCAAGTGATTTACATGTCACAGGGCTCTCAGGGGACCATGTGGGAAGAATCTGTCTACTGGCTGGGGACCTACTTTGATTTGATTTGATTAGGTTGGAAGTCACAACTGCAGAAGCACCTTTGTTTCTTAGAATAGTAAATGGTTGTACATTACAGTGTCTGCAGTGATAAGCAGAGGGGAAAGATTTCGAATGAGAAATGTTTACAGTACATTTCCTAGATAGGAGAGATTAGGGTATAGCCTTCAAAAAAGGTTTCAACCAGTTTGGCAGCATTAAAAGACAGTAAAACACTTATGTATCGATGCAAGACTTCTTTGAAGCGAAACACTAAAAGGAGCAGGAGACTTAATACTAAGAGCATTAATTAGTGTTTGTATGGTGATGGGCAGAGTACTTTTTGTACATGAGGCATTGCAAGCTTTGATGAAGTATGTACTTAACTCTCTTCCTCCATTATCTTATCTTATTAAATATGCTACTAAAATTGGCTGTGACTTTTGAAAAAGAAACCACCAAGGCACTGTTTATGATACATAGATGTTCATTTATAAGAAAGAATGACTTCTGGGATGACTTTGAAAGGAGATGTTGTGCACAAGATTTAATACAAGTCCCATGGAAAAATACTGACACGAACTTTTTGTTCTTTGGTGATATAATGATACTTCTTGCCATGTCATTTGCAAGCACTTAATAGCTGACTTTTTTGGCAATAGATAACTGTAAACCATCCTATTCCAGAATTAAAAATGTTTCATTTAATATGAAGCATTAATATAAAGGAGTTTTTAATTACTATGGATTTTATCAGTGGAATGCAAATTTCCCTTAGATATTAGTCTATCCGTACTTTGTGACCCTGGAATATATCTAATTAGATTTTCTCTAGAATAGTGGATGCAAATTCGCACTCTGTGAAATTCAGCTGATTCTATGAAGATAAAGCAGAAGATTAGAGGATAATAAAGCTTGAAAATGTGAATTTGATTTACTTTCCTTACAGACAAAGTGGGATATAAAAGATTTTTTTCTGTATTTATATAATCTTATTTTCCCTTTCTTATGCTAATCTCATTTTCTAAAATGTGATGTGTTTCAGTGTATAACTCACTTTGGCGTGAGTTAAAAAAAGTCATATTTAGATGATCCTACTATAACAAATCCTTTATCCAGAAGAGCTTGTAAATTTATCCCAGCACTGCACAGTCTGTCTATTAGACTATAAATTTCTTACTGAAAGGACATGTTAGGTAAAGTTAACATGAAGTTGATTTTCATATCCACCTATGAATTGGTAGCTTGCTCTACTAGAACTGCTAGAAAATTAGCTTGCAGAAGTACACTGTAGCAGGACTTCTTCAGGGTTTGGACTCATGTAATTGGTAGAGAAATTGGACAGCATTAAATTAAATCTGCTATTCCATCTTCTCATAAAAGCCACCTACATGTATCCTGTAATGTATTTAGGTACTTCTGTTTATAGAATTAATATATATTTTTAATTAAGAGAGTAAACTGGAAAATACTTTGTGTCTTAATTTAATGCTAGACCTTGCATTACATACCTTATTGTATGTAGTTAAGATAATTATATATTTAAAGATATGTGAATGTAGACTGGAGCCCCTCCAGCACCAGGTTACAAATCTCTACATCATAGACTGATAAGCAGACTTTATAAATGACACTTGTGATAGCCTCATGTGAGAGCATTGCTGCTGCAATATCTCTCTTTCCCATATACCCAGAGGCATATTCCCCCAGTCTCCAGCAACCCAAATCCTTCTCTGTAATATGGCTTAATCCTTCCCTGTCCTTTTTACCACCCACTATCCCCTTTCCAGTCCTCTGGTTACACCCTGTGTGTTTTCCTGTGCAAGTCTTTGGCTGGTTTTCAAAGCTCCACATCTGAAAAATGTCTGGTCAGGCTATCCCTGGTAACCACCAGGCAGTTGATTGCTGCCAAATAGAGTGTGTAACAGGAATGGATGTATGGCAGTCATGCTCTTCAGGGCTGGGTTGATTTGGTTTCTCAACTCCTTACAATTGCTAAAATGAGAAAGTTTTATTATGTGGAGATTTTACCTCTCTTTCATTTAGCCACCTGAATAGAAAACTTATGATAAGCATGCATAATCTTTATTTCCTGGGAAAACTAAGCTAAAACTGTAGTGTAAGAACAGAAAATACTTGGGTTTGACCTAACTTGTTAACTTCAGCAAGTTTTTACTTATTCTGATGTTTGCCTTCTGCATCTACCCAGGTTTACTGGAGACCAGCAACTTTGCTGCTTTGTAGCCTGGTCAGCACTCCTGATCTGGTGCAAAATGTGTTTCATGGGTCCAAAAGGCTCAGCCAAGGCAAAGGAAGAGTATATCGCATTTATGGAAAAAGTTATCAATCTTGTGCCATGGGATTCACTTCAATGTTTAAATTATACCTGAAATCTATAGCAAGGTGGCAACGTTTTCCTAGTTAAGTAGCTTTTTTAAAAAAGGACCCTGTGTAAAACAGCTCTGATGAAGTGAGATTTTCTGTGTGTAAGGAAGATTTTTCTGGAGCTTTGGGGGTTTTTTGTTGGCTTCTTTATAATCTATTTAACAGCAAATTCTGCTAAAGTAAGCATGATTAGACTAAAGAGATTTTTCATATTAAATATATAAGTATCTCTATCTGAACAAGACTTCATGAAAACAGCAAAAAAATCTTCAGTTTTATATCATGGTCTCTTGAGAAACTTTACAAAAAGAAACATTTTTTGTTAGAATATTTTCTTGGAAAATTTACTCTAAGTATATTAACTTATTAGTTACACTGCACACACAGACTAGTATGTTTCTATCAGTACAAAAGTGAAATAGGAGACAGTTAATAGGACAGGGGTAAAAAGAAAAAAATAGGCCAATTTTCCTCCATCTAGATTTAAAAACGCTCTTTCACCTTAGATTCTGAGTCAATGTCCTTGTAATTTAAAATAGTGCAGTAAATTTAGAGATTTTTGATTCATTTTATTAAATAGATTTTTGGCCTTGTATGTACATAGATCATAGTATGAGTACATGAAAGGGGGAAATAGAAAGCTTATTAGGTAAGCATGATATATAGTTTGAATAATCCGGCCTTTTACCATTGTACTTTTTAGTATAATAGTTTTTTACCTTGTGTCTACATAACAGAAACTTCTGCACTGACAAAATCACAATACACTATAGTGTGTAAAGAAGTAGCTGCTATTTGAAATGTGCTTATTCCTGAATCTCTTTTGACTTATTGGCATGTGGTCCATAGGTTTGTATCAGCATAGATTTCCCATATGCAAAGCTCTGCATGTTCAAAAACTTCTTGGAAAACTGTTTCCATCAGCAAACTCACACTTGCAGTATGGGAAGTTTCAGTCATAGTTGCTGTACATTCAAAGCAAGCCTGGCCATTAACACTAACCCCAATTTTAAATTAAAATACTTGTTTAAAGAAGTTAGAAGTGTGGCTGTGCAATCTTAGTAGTACATCTTAAAGAAAACATTTTATATACTGCTATTTATTCTGTAGGAACATTTGTCTCCCCTTTCCTATGGTTTGCATATATCAGTTATCTCATTGAAGTCTTTAGACATTTATAAATAAAACTGACTATGAAAATTGCTGTGTGCGTAATACATTGGGAGTCACTTACCACCAAGTCAATTTTGACATTTTTAATTACAATTCTATCTTAATTTGTAGAAAAATCTTGTGTACTCTGAAAATAAGTTTTCTTTAGATACAAAATCAAGATCGGGTGCTAATTTACATTACTCTCTATGGATTAAAAGGTTTGACTGATTTTTTTTTTGTTATGAATGAAATATTATGCTGTTATTATACTGAAATATTATACTGAAAAAGAAAGTAAAAATAGCCTTCTTTGTTGAAGTCTATCTCTTCTAGTTTCTTGTGACTTCAGATTCCTGTTTGGCTTGGATTCTGTATTTTTACATTACTGCTATTCTTTTGCAGACGGTTAGAACAAAATTCAATCAAGGTCATACCTCCTGGAGCTTTCTCCCCTTATAAAAAGCTTCGAAGAATGTACGTACCAAATAATTTAAGTTTTTATTTTCACATGTATGTATACATGCATATACATATATATAGCTATATAAAAAGATAAAAAACAAGTCAAGTTGGTACAGGGGAAATGCAGTCAATGTGTGAGCACTTAAGAAAGTTTGACTGCTAGAAGGTTAACTGATATGGTAGCCTGATTATTAAGAATATATTTGTCATATTAATAATAATTGGTTTTTTATCAAGTATTGAAATTGTTTAATATGGTTCTGCATAGAAGTAATATACTACTGCAGTGAAAATTCTATTAAAAACAAAATAATGAGGAAAATTACAGATTATTTTTGAGGCTGGGCAGTCCTGTGGCCATAGCAAGCAGAGAATTCTTTATAAAATGTGCTCAAACAACTAGGAAAAGCACTTTTTCAAGCATTTGAAAGATCTGTTTTCAACCATGCATTTTGTTTCAGTGTACTGGCAATTTTAGTGGTTTTATATTAAAATTTTTGGCAGTGTCTCATGTAAATATTTTAATTTCTCTCTCCCATCCATGCTTAATTCTAATTACATATTATCTTGATGTTTGCTATTTTGAAAATAACTTGAATTAATTGAGTCAAATTTCATTTTTTCAGTGACCTGAGCAATAACCAGATCTCTGAAGCAGCTCCAGATGCTTTCCAGGGCTTACGTTCACTCAATTCACTGTAGGTATCTCTTTGACCTGTAAACAGAAGGAAATTTCCCCTTATTCCTATAGTGAAATTATTTTGGTTTTTTGACTCTCTGTAAAATTTTCCTATTAATTCAGTCAATTCTGAAAATTGTAAAAATCATTTCAGAATGTTAGTGATAGTTAAATATTGTCACAGTTTGACACTAGTAATATATAGGGTTTTTATAAACATGTCATTTATAATGTGGCATAGAGCTGAACAAAACCAAATGTCTTTAATTCCTCAGTTAGTTGTTCTTGCAAACAGCAAATCCACTTACCAAGGTCCCTTGGGAACACTGTAAGCAGTGAGGTGCTGATTCTGCCGAGAGCCCTTTGGGCTCTATACCTTTTGGGAAAATGTGTGATCTTGCTGCCTCACAGGACCACGAGGATATTGCAAGTATCAAGTGGTTGCCATTGAAATCCTTTCAGGAAAATGGAAATTACTTTATTCTTAAAGTCAAAATCCCATAGCATATGCCTTTCATAATGGTGGCTTTGTTTGCTTTATTTCCTGGTGCAGAGTCCTCTATGGCAATAAAATTACAGAACTTCCAAAGGGCCTATTTGAAGGACTATTTTCTCTGCAGTTGCTGTGAGTATTTTTTTTAATATTTATTCTATTTTGGGATCATTCAAAAGGTAAACATCACAAGAGATTTATACCTGAAGAAGAACTAGCAGGAAATCCTATGTGTAAGATCAAAGTATAGTAAAACCAAATTATGTTAAAGCCAAAGGAGTCAAGACTGTTGTAGGCCAACTTGCCATTTGCCCACAAATGTGATCATATCAGTTAATGTCTCAGCCTAAAATAATTAAAATTAAATTATTCTCTTGTGTGGAACTTGTAAGGATAAAACACATAAGATATGTACGATACTGTCTTGCCTTGTAAAGAACAAATAGCATGTATAAAGATGTGTGGGAACCATAGAAGGAATATTTGTGTGTTTTATAAAGAGAAAATAGGTAGTAGAAATGCTATATAATTGTATTCCTAGTTATATCCATGAAGAACAGCATTGCACCCCAGTTTCATTGATGACTTAATGTTTTCTGACACTGTACAAGTCTTTGACTCTGAACTCCAGCTGCTATTTCCTTTAGCACTTTGGAAATTTCCATGTGTAATCTTATAAACGATCGCTCTTTAGATTTAATACTGGAATAAAGAATGTCATGGTGATGTGTTTATCAAATATTGTCAATAATTAGCAGAAGAGGCTGTGTGGTAGTTGTACTGTGTAAAAGAAATTGGTACAATAGACTGTAAAACAACAGTGGTGTTTTTGGAAGAACTTGTCCCAGGCAAACTAACTTGTCGAGTTTAAGAGTATACTTAAAGAATTTAAAAATTCTTCCCACTTGTTTAGAATTATTTAATGCCCAGACTTCACAGTGCAGTGGTTGGCAAAATGTCTGTTATTAACAACAAATTGAAGATGGCAAAACAGAAAATAGATATTAAAAATATGCAAGTTCTAGCACCACCTAGAGGTTTGCATTTTGATTTATTTTAGTCACAAATTATTATAGTAGTGGGCAGGGGGGGTATGCTTTCCTGTTTTCCTTTACAGATGTTTTAGTTATATATTTTTGATTTGGTGAAAAAAAGGTGGGGGGGAGAGACCTTTCCAAACTGCTGTCTATTCTGTATTAAAAAAATGTCCATAGCTTACATTTCAGTCTAAGTAAATTTCTACATTGTGGTGAAACTTCTTTTCAGAGCATTAGGGTTCAAATCCACCATTTCTGACTCAAAATGGAAAAAAGTAAAAAATATTTGGTTATAAAAATGCATGTGGTTGAATGACTTTTTTTTTTCTCTTCAAAAGGACTTGGTTTAGATTGGCTTGTTTATTTTATCATTAAAAGTCTGGGAGGTACACGGAAGAAAAGGTTCCCTTTGAAGATGGAGAGGAAAAAGGATCCAAGACAGATTTGGATATATTCCATACCACCAGTTTTTACTACAACTCTGTTAATGCGGCAGCATGCTGATTAGTAACATATAATTAAAAGTGCCACTGCACATCTCTTCCAGCTCATGAACACAGTGTTCAGTTCCTTTTTTGTTTGTTTATTTGTTTGGCAAAAGGAACTAGTTTTCCTTGCATATACTTGATTTTTTAGGCTTGTTTCTTTGCACAAATACCACACACACACATTCTTCCAGTACATACAAGAAATGTGATTTTAGCTGAATAAATATACACATTTCAACTCCAAGGTGCCAATATATAGGAATACATGTCAGTTAAGTAAGACATTTCAATTCACTGAAGTGCCCTATGTCATTGTCAATTATTATTTGTTACTACATCTCCCGTTCTGGTTACAAAGGTGCAGAAAGACTTATCTGTGAAAAATGCTGAAGCTGCGACATGAAGCGAGTTCTTTCAATTTTATAATTGTCTTCCGTTAAACAGATTATTGAATGCCAACAAGATCAATTGCCTGCGAGTTGATGCATTTCAAGATCTGCACAATTTGAATCTGCTTTCTTTGTATGACAACAAGCTTCAGACCATTGCAAAAGGCACCTTCTCACCCCTACGTGCGATTCAGACCTTGTATGTATGCTCTTGTTTATGGTTGTCTTTAGTATGACTTCATATAAAATGCAGTAAAAGCATTGGATACTACTAGGACCAAAGGGAAATAATGAGTGAAATTATTGGTTTTTTCTTCATGAAAGGCATTTGGCTCAGAACCCATTTATCTGTGACTGCCATCTGAAGTGGCTGGCGGATTATCTTCATACAAACCCCATTGAGACCAGTGGTGCCCGTTGCACCAGCCCCCGCCGTCTGGCAAACAAAAGGATCGGCCAGATCAAAAGCAAGAAATTCCGCTGCTCAGGTAATTTTCTTAGTTCAGCTGCTATTTTTCCTTTATTGGCAAAAAATAAAGAGGTGGTTATAGAAGTTCCAATGAAGCCAGCTGGCTCTCTATGGAATTATTAAACATTGCAGAATCTTTTTTAGTTCTTTGACTGAAGGGAGGGAAATCATGGAAGTCATAGACTATTGGCTCACGGAACATTACTGTACTTAACAAATTTGGCACTATTCCTGAGTAGCATTAAATCTGACAAAATAAATACAATATTTAAAACTTCAGAATGAAATGCTAAAGTTATTCACTACAAGTATCACCAACATAAATCATTTTGTAAAATTTCCACAAGCCTCTGGAATATGCAAAAGATCTAAAAATTCCGAAGCTAAATACGGAAACATGACATATTAATTTTATACAGGGAGCTTGCCTCATACTGAAATTTACTGTTTTCTTTTTCTAATCTTATTCCATTTCCTACTTACATTTATTTAAATCCTAACTTTTGTCATATGGCATCCAGCTGTTCCAGGTGCATTTCACATTCTACAATTTATTCAATCTCAAGTGCAAATACCAGATGAAAACTGTTTGTTATCCATGTTCCGGATACATTTATGACTATTCACACTTTGTTGTTTATCAGTTCTCATTGTGAATACACCTTTTTTCACTTAATTATCTGTAGTTAACTGCAGTCCATACTTAACCTAATAAAACTCATTCTTTGCTTGCTGACATTCAGGTGCATCTTCTATTTTTTTTTTTTCTCTTTATTTAGCTAAAGAACAGTATTTCATTCCAGGTAGGTTTGGCTCTGCAGGAAGATTGACTAACTGCAGATATTCTCTCCCTTTCCCCCCTAAAAGCAAAGTTTGTTATAGCTTTTAGGAAACTGATGCATGTGTATTAACATTAGTCAGTACCTGTAGCTACGCATAGTTTTCCTTCGTAGAATACTAGTAGTTCTGTTTTCTGAATATAAGAGCTTAGCATGCAGCTCCATTTACCTTTTTTGTCTCACAAATTTGCACTCAACCTACCAAAAGTATACCTATACTTGAAGTATTTAGAAGATTGCACCTGCTAGTTCATATTTTAATCGATACCTTTACTTACCTTGTACCTTGCCTTTCTGCCGCTACTGTTTTTAAATGTAGCTCCTGAGCTGCTTTTAAACACAGGAAACCATGCTGCCATCAAAGAGCTAGCACGACTTTAAAAAACCAAACATTTTACAAATTAACATTTTCTTGCCTTGCTTTCATGCTCTACACTGGCTGCAGCTACTGCTTGCTCACCTCCTCGTGTTTAGGAAATCACAGTGGAATGCTTGGAAAAGAACGCTGATATTCTTAATTAGATGCATTCTGTGGTCACATGCATAGAGTGAATCAGAAATGCTTTCCATTAAAGAAAATATGACTTTAGAGTTGGGATGAAACAGTAATTTACACACTGCTTTAAGCTACAATAAGTCTATGATATTTTTACCGAAGATTTACTGATGCTGGCCCTAGCTCTTTGAAATATGTATCTTTCTTTATTTTACCTTGCTTGTCAGTGTGTGCACTGATTTCTTAAAAGAAAAAAAATTCACTTATGTTATATTCATAAAAGATTATAAATGACTGACAAAATAAACAAGGGAATAACACATCTATTGATGAATTACAGGATGTGATTTTCAATCAGGGTTTTCTACCATAGTTTAAGATCTAGAAAGATAAATACAATAAATGATTTTGACACCAGTGCACTTGTTCTTTCAAGTACTACAGGTATACGGTTATTCTGCAGTCGTTGCCTCTTTAGCTGGTATGTTTAACAAATGCTGTGTGATGTATCACTTAAATTTGCAGCAATCATGTGGAGCTCTTCATGCCCTTATACTGATACGTTGGTTTGAATATGAAGGAAAGACAAAATTAAATACAAAATAAGGCAGCAATTTGTCAGCACTGGCAGCCGTGAAAATGTGTTTTAAAGCAGCATAAAACAGGGGGATTCAATTTCTCAAACCTGTAGTACCACTCAATTCTTTAATGAGTAGAACAGCTGTATTCTTGCCACAGAGTGACTTCTACTCAACTTTGCCAGCACAACTTTTGTGTGTACATTAGAAGTGTTTTCTTGCCAGCAAACGTCTTCACATCCTGTTTATATTATGGCCACACATGCCATTAGGTTTGTTTACATATCCTTTAAGATATGCTATTCCTGGAGAAAAAAAAAAGGAAGAATTAATTCATCAAAAAGTGCTTCTTGAAATACAGCTTTTGTGCTTTCTCTTTCAGTCAGGTTATCAGGAAGATGCTGCCTAAAAGTATTTTAGTTGTTGAAGGCCTTATCCCTGAGTATTTTAGTTGTTTGCTTCAAACTGCTAACAGTCATGGACTCAGGATGCTGGAAGAAAAAAGTCATATTTTGTAGCCTTGTTTACTGGGTATTTCAAAGTGCTAGAAACACTATACTTAAATAAATAGTATCAAATAATCTTAGGATTTCTTAAAAGACTTAAATATTTTATTTTTTTTTAATATTTCGTTGAGAGATCCCACTCTGCAGACACTATGAAGTCTTAGTAGAAATTTGTTATAGTCATTTGGAAGAATAAAGGTTATAGAAGTATTAAATCATTTTTTTGAAAAAATACTATTTATCTGCTAGCTCATAGAAATACTCTATTCTAGTTTTATCATGTGTATTGGTACGAGAGTTACAAGTGCTAGAAATCATAATATGTGATGGCTGTTGGTGGGGTTTTTTCCTGCCCTGAGTAATCTGTTTCTCCTATGTTTGTTTGGTTTAGTAAGGATTTAAGTGGCATAGCATGTATATATGTTAAAGGAGCGGCTTTTAAAGAATGCATTCAAAATACTGAAGAATAATTCATGGGAGGCATCATCATCATCCTCCTATATAAAATCTGTAATAAACCCCAATCTTATCTTCATTTTTAAATGCCACTAAAATGAATTATTTTTTCTCTCTGCTGAAGACCATACCCCTTAGTATCTTCTTCTAGTCAAACTAAAGTTGAATAGAGAACATGAGAGCTTAGTTCGTGTTTTTGTCTTAATTGGGATTACTCTGTCTTTCTTTCCTTCTTGGCTATCTTTACTTTTGCAGGAGTTCACCATTTTGGCTGTAAGTAAAGTTCAGTGTCTGAGCTAAATCACAGTGTACCTCCCAGCCCTGATGCACCTTCTACTAGTCTCAGTCTTTTCACCTTTGTCCAAGAAGAACCCACAGGTCCTTTCAGCTTCTCTTTGTTTTCTTTGTCACCCACCCTCAGTTCCTTACTGGATGTTTTTTCCTGATATGTTTAGGATGTTTTCTTTGAGTGACTCTGGGAAATGGTGGAGGAAACTTTCAATGTGGTCCTTTTTTTTTTTGGTATTTTTTGGTATTTTTATTTAATCTGTGACAGTGATACTGTTACTGTGGCACTGGACATTCAGTAATAAGAATGCCATGTCATGTAAGCAAGTATTAAACTTCAAATGTTTCTGTAACTTATACCTACTCCTTCCTCTTTTCCCTTCCTCTTATCCTTGGCCTAATGGATGCAGTTTTGATAACGTAGCGAGATTTTCTGTTGTGCTTGATCTAACCATGTGGTTGTGAGGTATGAGTAAAACATGGTTCTGTCAAGCACCATGGAACGTCACGCAGCTTTCTACAGCATGGCAAGCTGCTGAGGCTTAAGTCAGGATCACACATTTTTTAAATTAAAGCTGAAAATAGGGCTTTCAATCTTTTGTGTTGAGTTGATGTGGAGTATCGGGACTATTAAAAAAAAAAAATCACAGAGGTTAATGAAGTCCAGTCAACAATACAAATTTGTAACCAGAGAAAGAGAAAAGGTGGCATTCAGGATCTATTTATTCTTGATACAGAGAAAGAAAATAAATTCTAAAAGAATCACTGGCATTTGTGTGATTAGCTATAAACAAGGCTAGATTGGCTGACAACATAATCAGCAGAAAGTACAGCTGTGAAAAGCTCAAGTTATTGTTATCCCGTTACGTGAAGTTGGTCTCAGTTTCTTTTTCCAGCATATCTAAAGTCCCTATATTTAACCCTCTCTTGAAGCCCTTGTGTCTGTTCAGTATCACAAAGTTTATCATGCATTTCCCAAGTTGCCCACCATTATCTGCATTGCAGAAATCTTTTCAACCTTCTCACAAGCAGTAAATCATATACTTTATTGACTTAATATCTGTGTTTTGACTTGAATCTTCTACAGGCACTGAGGATTACAGATCCAAATTAAGTGGAGACTGCTTTGCAGATTTGGCTTGCCCTGAGAAATGTCGCTGTGAAGGGACCACAGTGGACTGCTCCAATCAGAAACTCAACAAAATTCCTGATCACATCCCCCAGTACACAGCAGAGTTGTAAGTTGAACCCATAATAAAGCATTGTTTATTATGGAAAAACTAACTAAAATTTTCAAATTTTCAAACCACAGATTTACTTTTTTGAACGGCAAAATAACCTCTGTGGTGCCCTTCTAAGGACTAAATATTCATAAAAATTATTTATGCATCATTTCAGTACCATGTAGCCTTAAAAACCCATGATAAATAGATAAAGTAACTATTCTATATTTCTAGTTCTTCAAGGATCTGAGCTACCCACTTCAGTTTTTCTGAGAGGTAGTAGGGTTTATTTTGCTTTTAGCTTTAATTGCAAGAGAAAGTAGGACATCCAGTAACCAAAGGGGTCAGTCTTAAAAAGAGCTACCTGGGTGTTTCAGAAGACAGAGCTGATTCTTCTTATGCAAAGTACACATTACATGTGTCAGGCAAGAGGCCAGAGAAAGATAAAGCAGACAAACAGAACAGTGTTGGTTTAAGAAGAGGAGATAATAGTATAATGAACAGAATGGGTAGAAATCACAAGTTATTACTTGCTTAATAAGTGCCATATGGGAATGATTTGTAGGCATTACAACTGAAGTGATCTTCAAGGAAGGAGTGAAAGATAAAATTAAGACAACTTTACAAGGTTTTCCCATGTGCAAAGCATAGTATGAAAGGGAATGCAGAGATGCTTGAAGGATCAGGGGAAAGGTAGATGAAAAGTGGCTGTCATTGCAGAGCAAAGGGGGAAGGAAATAGCTGTTTTTCGTAGGAGATTCAGTTTAAAGAACAAGGCAGAATGTTGAGGGACGAGAGGGGGCCTTTGATTTAATGTAGTAAAACAGAGACAGAGATGTGGAGACAGGAGTACTGTGATCAAGTTGTAACCCACAGGGGTGAGATGAGCAACAGGATGACACACCTCTTAAAAGACAATCAGTATACAAGTGGCATCAAAGGAACAGTACAGCAGTGAAAGTAGGAAACAGTGAGACTATTGTTAAGTATTTTGAATATCTTGACAGGAAAAGGAATTTAAAACAAATATTTTTAAAACAGAGATGGAGCTTTTTGTCTGTCTCTGAGCTGAAGAAGGAATTGAACTTCAGGGTTGCTTTCTGTGCTGGTTTTGGCTGGGGTAGAGTTTAATTTTCTTCACAGCAGATAGTATGGGTTTATGTTTTGGATTTGTGCTGAACACAGGGTGAATAATATAGAGATTTTTTTTTTTTTTGCTGAGCAGGGCTTACACAGAGCCAAGGCCTTTACTGCTTTTTGTACTTCCGTGCTGGCAAGGAAGTTGGGGGTTGCATGTGAGGCTGCGAGGAGGCACAACCAGGACAGGGGACCCAAACCGGCCAGAGGGATATTCCAGACCATATGACATCATGCTCAGTATATAAAAGGGGGGGGTGGTGACATTTGCAGTGATGGAGTCTGTCTTGCATGTTATGCGTGATGGGGCCCTGTTCCTCCAAAGAAGGCTGAACACCCACCTGCCAGTGGGAAGAAGTGAACTAATTTCTTTTTTACTTTGTTTGTGTATAAGGCTTTTTTTTTCCCTATTAAACTGCATTTATCTCAACCCACAAGTTTTCTCATTTTCACCCATCTGGTTGTCTCCCCAGTCCTCCTGGTGGAGGAGTGAGTGGCTGTGTGGTGCTTGGTGTCTGGCAACAGATAAACATTGGCATGTTCTTACTAAAAATCTGAGAATTACAATCAGAAGAGAAAATTGATACAGTCTTGGGTGAAGGGAGATCAACTCCAGTGGAGAAATACATTTTATGTTATCCTATATTTTAAGATAAAACTAATTTAAGAGTAAAAGCTGATGGATTAGGTAACGGGTTAACATATAGGATGAGATCATAAAGTAGTGGTTCTATAAATGATAGTTACTGAAGGAAGAGATGAGAAATGGAGTTGTTGAAGTGGCAAGCATGCATTGTCTTGATTTTTAGAAGTAATCATGTGTAATTCTCTCTTTTCTGACGAAATAATAATCTTAATTTAACATTTTAATTGTTTTTCATATTCATTTATTTACGTGTGGAAGATAAACTGCCAAGTGTTTTCTTTCTATAATTATGACTCCTACCTATTAAATTCAGAAGGAACAATTAAATAATCAAGCATCATCTTCTGTGTATCCTAAACACTCAAATTTCAGTCAACAAATTTTTTTTTGACTAAAGTATAATTCACGTTTGGTTGCAGCACTTTTTCAGAAAATACTCATTCTTGTTTGAAGGTGTCAGTGGATTTAAAAATCCACCATTTCCCTGAGACTTTACAGAAGTTAATTATCTCCTTTCACTCCTGTTAAAATCTTTTAAAATGGGAACTTTTACTTCAAGAGAGAATCTGCTTCCCTTCAGTTTTCATCATTACTTTCTTTATATTTTTTGCCATTAAAAAGACCTTTTCTGTATGTAGCACTTTATCCAAGTAAGATGGTGTTAAATGTAACAAAGTCATTTTTCAGCCTTCTACTTGATAGGCTGCACAAATTGTTCTTCAGTCATTTGATGTAATAAAAATTTCAATAGCACTACAAATATTCTAGAGAGGGTAGAGAAATTATTTCTGCATTTTTTTACTTCTGCTAAAATCCATTTGCTGTAGCCAAATACACTCTTTTGGTATTTGCCTCACTGATACAAAAGTTACAGCTCTTTTTCTTTTTTCCTCCTGTTATTCCTGGTCTTTGATGCACTGCCTTTGATGTTCCTCTTGCAACTTTCCAGTCTAGTTCTAGGACTGATGTCCAGTTCACAGTATTTACTGGGATGTATATGAGAACAGCAGCTAGTTAGTCTTTCTTTTCTTTTAGCTATCACATTTGAGATAAAGATACTTGTTAGAGTCAAATTACATTGATGCTTCTATAACAGTGATGAGGAAAGCTAGATTGATTTCTACAGAGTGGTGTTTAGAGCTGAGTCTCAGCTTGAAAATAAAGATCAAAAGTGAGGAAAAAGGTATGCATTGTGTATATTACAACAGTAGTGATAGCACCAAAAAACCCCCAGTATTTCTTCAAGTTAGTTGCTTTTTTAAAAAATCTAAACATAATAATATAGTTCAAGGCATATAGTTAATTATAAAAGTGAAAAAAATTATAAATGAACCAATTGCTGTTCTAACTTCATATTTTGTCGCTTGCTCGCAGTCTTCCAGAAAACCAGTGAAAGATCTGACTAATCTGAAGTATTTGATATAAAGTACAAGTCTATAATTGTACCCCAGAAATAAAATCTTTTTCAGGTAGCATTCTAATGTATAGGAAAATTCCGGAAGTGTTGCTAAACCACTCAAACAAGAGTCCCCAGGAAGAAAGCTAAATAAAAATAATTTCAATCTTATATGTTGAATTTTTATAATGATTTTACAATAGCTGATAACCAAACATGACTGTTTTGAAAAGCATGAATATCACTGCAGTATATAGCCTTCCAGGAGGATCACCTATTGTATGAAAACGTGCGAGTATCTTAGCCATTGTGTTACTAAAACGGGAAAAAACACCAAATAAACCAAACAGAATATGTAGATATCATTGTGAAATGCTTCTTTGTTTACTTTTTTGTTTTGAGGATGGTGTTTCAGTACTTTTCTTTGAATAAACCAGATAAAAGTAATTTTAAGATCACTTTCATGATCCAGTGATTGACAGGTAACAACTATAGTTATTGTCTTTAGTGGTGAAGAGCACTAGGTTAAAAAAATACTGATATTAAAATCCATAAGAGAGATCTCATCCCATCTGTTAATTTTCCAGTTATCTTTAATAATTTTGTTTCCATTATGTGTGGACTAATTTAAATAAAATAAATGAAATTTAAATAGAATAAAAATTAAAAATCTACCTATGACATTATGTAGGATTATTTAGCCCTGGAAAGAAAAGACTGAGGAATAACCAATAAGGAGTTCAAGATAAAAGGCTATAGTGATGTTGTCGTGTATGTTAAAGGTGAAGGAGTGCTTTTGGGAACTACTGCAAATTTCGATCTGGGATATACTTGTAGCAATGTAGTATGTAAATTATACAAAATAATTATTTTACTCTACATAGCAATAGTAAAATATCAGCTGGAATACTGTGTCAAGGGCTTCACTTTTCAAGATGAATCACTGAGAAAAAAATTCAAGGATAATCATCTAAAAAAGACAACTTCTGAGAAAACAGCTAAAAAAGTTGAATGCATTTATGTGAAAGAAACTTGAGAGAGAGACAAAGTAAATTGCTTTTAATATGTTTTCAATGAGGTCAGAGATGTTTGCAGTAGAGCAAGTAAGTATTATTAGAATCAGTAAATGTTTTCATTAATAAGTCATTCTGCTAGGTGATATAGCACTTGAAAAGTATGTGAAAATGTCAGCATTTATAAAATTCTGCTTCTGTTGTTCATGGACCGGGAAAAAAAGGCTATTTACAGTGGAGAAGTAAGTTTGTTGATTGACAGTATGCAAGAATTACTTTTTATGGTCCCACTAAAAATCACAATAAGTCATTCAGCTGATTTTCAGAGGTGGTAACATCTTTTGAAATTCCTGTTCCTTGTAGTTTGGTGTGCTACACAAACGTTTTGTGTGTATCCAAAAAACTGTCTTCTCTCGATTTGGTTCCACGTTGAAACTATCGTACAGATTTACAACCTTCATTTCCCTTCTGGCTATCACTGAGAATGAACAGGAGGGAAGGATGATCAAACAGCTTTCCTTTATTTTCTAGGTGTTTTTTAATCTTGCCTTGCAATAAGGCAATTCTGAAAAGCATTCTGGGTTTAGAATTATACTGAATTTCATTTCACAGTGATCTTGTCAGTCACATCTCTTTCTTCCTATTTAAGATCTTAAAATTAAAGCTGGACAGACTCCTTTCCTTAATAAGATGGCTCCATTAAAATATAAAGGACCTAAGACTCATAATTTCCGTTTTGTTTTCAAGAGAGGAAATAGGGAGTACTGGGTCAATGGAGATATTTTTTGAAATTTATATAGCCCCCTAACCTAGCAACTACTGAAGTATACCATACTGGAACAGCCTTGTTACCTGTGTAGGAAAGATAAATATCCAGCTAGTATTTGTTACTCATTGTATACCTTCCTATAGTGTTAAAAATCAGCATTTAATGCTTCCTTAAGCTATGTATGTGTGCAGCCGTAGTGGCATGTAGATAAACCATGGTAAGAGAAGTGTTTTTTAAATTCTTGAAGACCTGTGCAGTGTGTTTCATTCCCTATTCAGAAGAAGCATTGAGTAATTATTTCATTCTTGTAAACAGTGTTCTATGAGTACCTCCAGATGTCTGGCAGACTCCACCTGATATCCTTTAAAGAACAGAAAACTAATCTTCAGTGGTTTACATGTACTTCTAAAAGATTTTTATTTATAAGTTGCCATGGAACCCTTCCTTAGTTACATTTTTGTTTGCAAAATTAAAAACATCATCTTATATTTCTCTACGGTTTTCGTTGTATAATATTTTGTGATCAGGCTATTAAAAGGTCTTACGTATGCCTAAGTTTAACTAATGAGAAAGTTCATTCACAGGAATGAGAATATTCATTCACAGGAATTATCAGAATTAGAAATGTCAGTATATAAGAAATTGTTCTTCATCTACCAGTTAAACACCAACTATTCAGTGAAACCAATCTGAAAAGTTCAGCTAATGTAGAACATTCTGTACCCATGCCTGAATAATTGTTTCTGAAATTGATGTAATTTCTTTTAGGCGACTAAATAACAATGAATTTTCAGTCCTGGAAGCTACTGGAATCTTTAAGAAACTTCCTCAGCTCCGTAAAATGTAAGTGCAACTTCAGTGACCTTGTCTATTCAGACAGCATGTTAGCTCCTTGCTGTGTCTCTCCACCTTTCTTAGTTTTTATCTACAAAAGATTCAGTATATTCTAATTGAAAATCAAGAATGGGTTTAAATTAATCACTGAGGTAGGTCAGAGTTGGCAGCTCTTCTCTATGGGACTAGGCACTGCCAGCAACAACTTCTCATGGTGTATGGCTCCGGCACCTTCGCAGCAGTGTCCAGCCAGCTGGTCTGTTATGCAGCCACAGCAGGGAGCTTGCAGTATAAGCTGCTTAAAAAAGATTCCAGTAATCTTTTGTAACTTCCTGTATTACTCCCTAACCAGACAGTTTTGCCCCTTTCAGCACATTAAAGCCATGCCTTTGATTCTGTGCTTCATTAAACTGTCATTAGGTGAGAGGGATATCAAAATTAAAATGACTAAGAAAAAATGGTTTGATAGCTCATCATTGTAAGTCCATGTTAACAGTTAATGTTCTAAGAGGAGTTTATAATCTTACCAGTTGCAGTTGTTACTAAAAATAAATCTATGAAAAGCTTTCTTTAGCTTATGTAAAAGACATATTTGAGAGTAGATGATTTAGATAGACTTAGTGACTCTGTGCTCAATCTTTTCAGGATTAAATCTAAACATAAATAGTAAGTGAAGAAAAATGCAAGTAAAAATAGATCAGTTTAATGATAATTGCTTTGTAGTAACCAAGTGACTGCCATTTGTAAAAGACTAGTCTAAATTACTAGTGACCAAAATCTCAAGGGGAGCAATAGTATTACTTAAACTATTGTTAAACTTATACAGATCCTTGCTGGCAGCTGTCATGATCACAATTAGTTAAATACTTATTACTGATTTTTTAGATTAAAAGTTAAAAAAAAACCCAACAATGTGAAACCAAAAAATGAACTTGCTTTTGACCTCTCCACTTGAGTACACCTTGCCACTTTGGATTGGGCTGAGATACTTAAAAAAAAAGAATATAGGAATGTCTGGCACAACAACGTTCTGGTTCTATACCCAGTAGATACCCAGCTTTCTTCATTCTCTAGGAATCTCAGATTGGCACTTTTTACATCTGTAGTGTACTTTTGAAATATCAATTATCAATATGAAGAATCAGTGGACAAGGGAAGGGGTACAGATGGCATTTATCTGGATTTCTATAAAGCCTTTGACATGGTCCCCCACAGCATCCTTCTCTCTAAATTGGAGGGAGATGAATTCGATGATGGACTGTTAGATGGATGAGAAATTGTTTGGACTATGGCTTCCAGAGGATAGTGGTCAATGGCTTAGTGGACATGGACATCAATGACTAATCGTGTCCCTCAGGGTCCCTACGGGAATCAGTGCTTTTAGTGTCTTCATCAATGACATAGACAAGGTGATTGAGTGCACCCTGAGCATGTTTTCAGATGTTGAGTGGTGCAGTTAACACACCTGAAGGATGGGATGCCATCCAGAGGGACCTGGACAAGGTCAAGAAATGAGTCCCTGGGAATCTCATGAGGTTTAACAAGACCAAGTGGAAGGTGCTGCACCTGGGTCAAGGCAACTCCCAGTATCAGTACAGGCTGGGGGATGAACAAATCAAAAGGGATATTGATTGATCAGAAGCTCGACATGAGCCAGCAATGTGCACTTGCAGTCCAGAAGCTTTCATATCCTGAGCTACATCAAAGCAGTGTGGCCATTAGGTCAAGGGATGTGATTCTGCCCCTCTACCTCACTTTGGTGAAACCTCATGTGGCGTACTGTGGGGTCCCCAGAACAGGTAGGACATGAACCTGTTGCAACAAGTCCAGAAAAGGACCACCAAGATGATTAGCGAGGATGGAGAACCTCTCCTATGAGGAAGGGCTGACAGAATTAGTTTTGTTCAGCCCGGAGAAGAGAAGGCTGCAGGGTGACCTAATTGTGGCGTTGCAGTACCTGAAGGGAGCCTACAACAAAGATGCAGAGGGACTTTTTACAAGGGCATATAGTGATAGGACAAGGGGGAATGGGTTTAAACTCAAAGACAGTATGTTTAGATTAGATATCAGAAAGAAATTCTTTACTCTGAGGGTGATGAAGCACTGGAAAAGGTTGCTCGGAGAAGCTGTGGATGCCCCATCCCTGAAAGTGTTGAGGACAAGGTTGGATGGGGCCCTGAGCAACCTGGTCTGGTGAAAAATGGCCCTGCAGAGGAGTTGGAACTAAATGATATTTAAGGTCCCTTCCCCAAACTGTTCCGTGATTGTATGATCCTATGAAATTAATAAAAAACTTGATGTGTCATACATACACATGCATACATATACACATTTATACACACATTTATACATATACGAGCTCTTCATATTTAAGAATATTTTTTTAAGTTGAGGAGATGTTCAAGACAAAAGAAAAGAAAGAGTATTAATCAATCTCGGTGTAGCTGTCTGCTGGAACTCCCAAGGGCTTTGAAATCTGGTTATTTGAGGAAGGACAAAATTGACAAAATTGAAAAAATGTTAATGAAAGATTCACTATTTTAATAGTACTGCTCTGTAACTTCCTAATATAGTTACCAGTTGTCACAACATTCTTTCATTCAGAGATTAATACAGTGAATACTTAAGCATCACTGGAAAGCAGTGAGGTACTCATGCTACAGAGACACCAATATGAGTAAATTCTATATTTTTGTGGAGCTCATATTTCTTCTGGAGGTTCAAAATAGGTGCAGAGGACTTTCTGCACAGATGACATTGAAAAATTGAGGCCTAAATGTTCCATTGATTTGACGGTTCCTCACTAGTAAAGCATGTGTATGCACTGCAACATAGATTAGCTATGCAACATTAATCCTTAAAATATGTATGTGAAGTGAGTGAAGTAGTATCCATATTACACCAGGAGCAAAAAAGATTTTAGGAAACTAAGGACTTGACATGGACAAGCCAGCTGAGATAAGAAATAATGAGTTTCTTGCTTCCAGTCTTCTGCAGCACCTTACCGAACACTGAACAGTTCCACTGTGAAACTAAATGAAAGCAATGGTTGTGGATGTTATCTACTTAGACTTTAGTAAAGCCTTTGACACCATTTCCCACAGCATTCTCCTGGATAAACGGGCTGCTTATGGCTTGGATGGACATATACTCTGCTGGGTAAAAAGCCAGCTGGATGGCCAGGCCCAGAGAGTGGTAGTGAATGGAGTTAAATCCACTTGGCAGACAGTCACAAGTGGTGTTCTCCAGAGCTCAGTTTTGGGGCCAGTCCTGTTTAATATCTTTATCGATTATCTGGACAAAGAGATTAAATGCACTCTCCGCAAGTTTGCAGACAACACCAAGCTGGGCAGGAGTGTTCATCTGCTGGAGGGCAGGAAGGTTCTGCAGGGGGATCTGGACAGGCTGCATTGATGGGCAGAGGCCAATGGTGAACAGGAACTGGCATGTGCCCAGGTGGTTAAGAAGGCCAATGCCATCCTGGCCTATGTCAGAAATAATGTGGCCAGCAGGTCTAAAGAAGTGATTGGCCTTCTGTACTTGGCACTGGTGAGGCCACATCTTGAGTATTGTGTTCTGTTTTGGGCCCCTCTCTACAAAAAATACATTGAGGTGCTGGAGTGAGTCCGGAGAAGGACAATGCCACTGTTGAAGGGTGCGGAGTCCAAGTCCGATGAGGAGCAGCTTAGGAAGTTGGGGTTCTTTAGCCTGGAGAAAAGGAGGCTTGGGGGGGGACCTTATCACTCTCTACAACTACCTGAAAGGAGGTTATAGTGAGATGGGAGTTGACCTCTTCTCCCAAGACAAGTGACAGGATGAGAGGAAATGATGTCAAATTGCATCAGGGAAGGTTACACTGGATATTAGGAAAAATTTTCCATGGAAAGGGCTGTCAAACATTAGAATAGACCACACAGGAAAGTGGTGAAGTCACCATCCCTGGAGGGATTTAAAAGACTTAGGGACATGTTTTTGTGGGGGGCTTGGTAGTGGTGGGTTAAATGCTTGGACTTTATGATATTAAAAGTCCTATCTAACCTAACTGATTCTGTGATTCTATGAATGTATCCTTCATCACAGGCAAGGTGTACAATAAATTTCAGCTAGGCTAGAAAGAGTAGTCAGCACTAAAGATTAAACCAGAACTCCTTGTTTTCCATGTCTTAGATAAAGGCACCCATTCATTCTGACAGACATATGAATTTTTGTTTTAACAAATAGTATCTTTCTTGTTTTGGATGATTAAAATGCTGTTCTAGAAATTGCATCAAAACATGTTTGATTTTCTTCCCAGCACAATTAATTCAAATAAAGTCTTTAGCTTCACTTCCTTTTTACATTGTCTCCTAGTGTTTTTAAGAGCTTTTGAAAAATCACTGGTGTATTATAACTGTTCAGTGTGTAGATATCTACTTCTGTAATATATGTAAATATTCTCATTTTGTTTTGTTTGTTTCATGTGACATGAAAAATATTTAAGAAAATGTGTGTTGTTGAGTATGTATGCTTTTGTATATGTATAGTACAGATACTGCCCATTTGGGATGTAATTTCCGTATTTCAACTGAAATAGTAAACACTAAATATTTTGGCAGTATTTTAGGTCATTTTCCCACATTTTTATCCACTTTGCATGCAAATTGCAGATAAATGAACTATCTTGCTTATAAACAATCCTTTCTGACTAATGTCATAAATTATTACCATGTACCATGTACTGTTTACATTCGCACATTTCATTTGCATATGTTGCTGTTTATACTGATTTCTTACATTTGTCTAGTGAGACAAAATAAAGAAACCAGAGAGGTTAGCTGTGCTGTGTTCATGCGGTATCATTTTGTTATTTATTCATCTAAAAATGCTGCAAAGACTGGAGACCTGAAAAAATATACAGCTACTGACAAGATTCAAAATTATGAAAAAATGTTATTGTGTGGTAACAGCATGGACTGGGTAATTGCCATTATTTAAAAACATCTTCCAAAGATTGCTTTAAAAATCTTTACTTCTTTAATTAGAAGAGCATTGAATTTTACTTTTATTGGTTTGAATTTGAATGATATATTTGTTGCTTTTATAAAATAACTTGGTTATTGCATCAAGGTTGGATTTGATTGTCTTGGAGGTCTTTTTCAACCTTAGTGATTCTATGATTCTAACTCAATGTCTTGAAATTTCACCCAGTCTACAGCATTTAACAGTTAATGTAGGGTTTTTATAAAAGAAAACATGTTCTTCTCTGTTTCTGTTAATGTGTAATAGAAACCTGAGCAATAACAAGATTACAGATATCGAAGAAGGGGCATTTGATGGAGCCTCTGGTGTGAATGAACTATTACTCACCAGCAACCGCTTGGAAAGTGTTCGACACAAAATGTTCAAAGGACTAGAAAGTCTCAAAACACTGTAAGTGTAATTATTTGGGTGTTTTTATTCTTACTTTCTTCCAGGTATTTTTGAAAGTAATACTCTATATGTCCTAAAAAAATTGATTTTGGAGAATTAACTATGGATTATTTAAGCATATCTTAGGTTTTGTTTCTATTATGCAAGAAGTTATATATTATATTAATTTGTTGATTATTAATTATGGGTATAATAAGTCTTCTAAAATGGCGAAGCAGTTGAGAATGGGTAAACATCCAACTTCAGAAGTGGAAATGGGAATAATCATCTGCATCAAAGTAACAGAATTTTGCACAGAAATTACACATTCTACATAATGGAGTCTGATTCAAATCAGCTCAACCATTACTGGGAATTTTGCTAGAGGAAAAAATTGTTCGGGTGGATATTGAAATGTGGGAAATTATTCTCTCCTAAGTAATTTTTATGTCATTTCAACAGTGAAGGGAGGATTAAAAGCACTATAGCTTGAACTCATTTCATTCTTTCCATGAGGCAGTTCAGTTCTTTCCACTCAAAAAAAATAGGTGTTTATACAATCTACAGCTTCTTGGCCTTTTTCAGAGATCCTGTCCTTCTGATCTGCAGAGCAGAACCAAAATTAAATGGTCTTTGGGGCTTCAGCTGTCCATAGACATTAGGTGTTTTTAATAAATCAGGTCTACAATTTCTAACCTTGCAGTAAAAGCTACTAAAATTATTTAAAGCAGCTAATCTTAGAAAAGAGCATGGGGAAAAATTATTCTTTCTTGATGGACAGAGACGAGAACAACAAACTTCAAAGCTCATAAGTTTTATAGAAATTAGAGATTTTAGAATAGGTATTTCTTACTTAGTATTCTGAAATTTGTATTAAACCTTAGAGTCATGCTTAGGAGGAGTCAGGTTAGCCTGATTTCATTTAAATTAAATCCTTCAGAATGCAGTAGAAGTAGTTTCTAGAATTTTCCTAAGTGAGGTCAAAGGGGCCTCAGGAGGAGGTCATCTGGTACAAGCTTCTGCTCTATATACATAGCAGTTCTGGAGTCATTAGCCTTGGAAACATGAAGATGTGTATGTCTGATTTGGGGAATTTCAATCAGTTTCATTTCTTTTCAGTTAAAAACCCATAATTATTGATTCTGGTATTGAAAATAAGAATGCTTAGGGGAAACTGGAACAGGTTGCCAAAGGGCACTGTGGAGTCTCCTCTGGAGATACTCAAAAGCCATCTGGACACAGTCCTCAGTAACATGCTCTAGGGGACCCTGCTTGAGCAGGGAGGTTTGACCAGATGACCTCTGGTGGTCCTTTCTAACCTTACCCATTCTGTGATTCTGTGAAGCACCCCTTGCCTCTGTGAAACCTACCCACCCACCTACCTTTCTGTCTTCCAGTCACCTCCACACACACTGCACCTAGTCCCTTCAGTGAGGTGACAGGTGGCACAGGGGTCACTGCACTTGTGGTCCCTTCATTGGTGGCCGCCCATTCCTCTTGGCCCTTGCTCCAACAACCACTTCAGCTTCTGCCCCTGTTTGGCCTAAACTAAGAAATGCTGATCCTTCTTTCTCAGGATGTTGAGGAGCAACCGGGTGAGCTGTGTGGGAAACGACAGCTTCACGGGCCTGAGCTCTGTCCGTCTGCTCTCACTGTACGACAACCAGATCACCACCGTGGCCCCCGGCTCCTTCGACACACTGCATTCGCTCTCTACCTTGTAAGTCACGTTCGTCTTTTACTGTAGCCAAATTTAAATCTCTGACATTTTGGGGGCCTTTCCCTTAATGATTTGTTCTGTAATTTCGCAGCACGTGGTTAAGGGGAAAAAAAGTTAAAGGTAAGGAAAAAAAAAAAGAGTTTATAGAGGGATTTTTAGGAGAGTTTATTCTCTGGGCTGTCTTGGGCACTTGAAGAGTATGTTTTCATGGTGCCTTGTGATGCAGCATTAGACTGGTTTCCAGAAGTGCCTGAGAAGGCAGGAAAAACATCCTGCTTGCCCCCCTCGCAGAAGCCCACTGCTCCGAAACCGGGTTGAAAGCCACATTTTGGGTAGGCAATGCACAATCACAGCTGGTTGAATCACCATGTTGCTGCCTTTCTGCCCTGTGCCACCCAATTACTATCTTAAATTTCTTTGACCTGCTGAGAATCTTAATTCATACATGTTTTATAATGAACCTTCGGTCTCATTTTCTACTTAAAAAAAAATCCCTTTTTTTCTTTAAATGTGATGTAATTTAAGTGAAAACAGTGAGCAAAGCTGCCACAGTTTAATGAAGAAATGGAGGTTGTAAGTAGCGTAATTCAGGAAAGTACTTTTTACGTAAAAATTGACACCTTGCACCCGGTGACTAATTTTGCATATTAAGGATGACATGTTTATAGATAATAGAATCATTGATAGATGTGTGCTGAAGTAAGGAGATGTCAAAAGTACTGGACTTTTGGAAGTAAATTCATTTTTGTAACTGGCATGTAATCAACTTAGCTGTCACTTCAGATAGGAAACTTATTCTCTGGAGCAAATAAAAGATGGAAATCCTGAGATGGTAAATTAATGGAATAGCTGTTGTCAGGTTAAAGCTAATAATGTAAAGTAATCAGCCTGCATCTCTATATGAAATTATTGCATTATCAGTACAGAGTGGCTTGACATGAACTCAGGTCTTTGACAGTTTTAAATTATTTCTAAATGAGTTGTATCAAGATTCCTCACACAGAGCCTAAATTACAGCTTTCTTCTATGGTTTGTACATAGCACTGTTTGAAGAACAGAGTTTAAGCTCAGCTTTTTGAAAATAAAAATAGAATGCTTAGGATGAAAAGATGGTGTCACCTGAGGTAAACTTTCCTGTGGTTCTCAGAAACCTCTTGGCCAATCCCTTCAACTGCAACTGCCATCTTGCGTGGCTTGGAGACTGGCTAAGGAAGAAACGCATTGTGACGGGGAACCCTCGCTGCCAAAAACCCTACTTCCTCAAAGAGATTCCTATCCAGGATGTGGCAATTCAGGATTTTACATGTGATGATGGTAAGAAAATTAATATTTGAACCTTTTATAATTTCAGCTTTCATGTGTATAGTGTAATGATTCCCATAGATCCCAAAGAATTGTGCTTTGAAGAACTTCATCAGCGCTCCGTGCTGTTTCTATATCAGTTTAAATATTTTCCACTCGTTTTTGTATGATCAGCAAGCACAGGCTGTTGTATATATGCTTTCAAAAGTTTTTCATGCCTATATTTAGTACTGTAAGTAATAATTTAGAAACAATACAAAAAACTAATCAAATGTTAAAGTTGAGATGAGAATATTTTCAAATGCTAATGCTTGAATCAAGGATGCTTTCAGGTTATTTGATCAAATAACATGACATTTTGCCTAGCTTGTGACTTCACTAATGCTTAATAAAGAAAAAAAAAGGCTACTATCTTGCATTTCTCACACATGCTTCCATTTACTGCATTAATAGTTTGCAATTTTCAAGGCTGTATCTTTTTTTTAAAGAGACTGTTTTTAATAGTTTGTTAATTTTATTTTCTTTCATTTCAGGTTTTATTCTTTCTTTAATGATTTTTTTTCCATATAATAGCATTCTTTCCTAGTAAAACAGCATTGTACTAAGTAAAGTATAACCTGAAATGTCAGTTCTTGGAGCAATGGTTTACAGAGCTAATGTGATTTTTAACCTACCTTGAGATATTATAATGTAGAAATAACATGTTTAGTTAAAGAAAATCCATGTGGGCTATCATTGCTAATATTGAAGTGACATTTATTAGCAAGCTTAGCATCTGTTCATTTTTATTAACCAGGAAATGATGACAATAGCTGCTCTCCACTGTCCCGCTGTCCTGCAGAATGTACTTGTCTGGACACAGTAGTTCGCTGCAGCAACAAAGGCCTAAAAGCTTTGCCTAAAGGCATCCCAAAAGATGTAACTGAACTGTAAGTGGCACCCTTTTTTCCCTTTTATGAAAATTATGAAAGTGTCAGATTTATATTGTCAGGTTCAAGAATAAGGGGAAAAGGAAACAAAGAATTGAATTCAGTAGATGAGTCAAAAATTGTTAATCTACCACTTTATAAAGACTTTCACATCATCTTGAGAAATTTGAGGTTAAGTTTGAATTAGCACTGAACCATCGTATAGCTGAATGTGGATATCATGTTATAATGGGTTAAATTATGGACAACAGTGAATCTGATTAACCTCTGGTCACTGGTTAAGGACTGAAGTTCAATTACATAAAAAAGCAAAAAGAAAACAATATATTAATGTGTTCATAAACTTTCGTTTTGAACGTGGGGTTTTATACCTCTAAGTTACTTCTTTTATAGCTCCAAGTCAACAGTCAACCACCCTAACCCTCTAAATCAACAGCCTTCATCTTTATCAAGGAGTTCAAGTTGCCAGATGTTAACTGGGAATACCACACAGCTGGCACAAACAGGTCCAGAAGATTCCAAAAGCACCTGGACAATAGCTTTATGGTACTAAGGGAGCTGACTAGGAAAGGTGCTCTCCTTGATTTGTTACTTGTTAATAAGACAGTCTTGCGAGTGAAGTGCAGCTGGTGTCCATCTTGACCGCAGCGATCATGAAGCAGTCGAGTTTAAAATCTCTGTTGACAGAAGGAAAAGTGCCAGCAAAACTTCAGCTGTGGATATGAGGAGATCAGACTTCAGGCTGCTCAGGGAACTAGTGAGTAAGATCCCCATGGGAAATGTTTTTGAAGGTACTGGAATTCATCAGTGCTGGTCACTTTTAAGTACCACCTGCTAAGAGCAAAAGAGCAAGCATTTGAAAAATATCAAAAGTCAGGTAAGTGAGGCAGAAGGCTGCCTGGGCTAAGCAAGGATCTTCTGGAGATAAGGCAAAAATGTAAAGTGGATGTCCAGTGGAAAAAAGGTCAGGTGAAATGGGAGGAATATAGAGGTGCACCTTACCACTGTGGGAGGAAAATGGGGGCAACCAAAGCCAAATTGGAGATGAAAGTGGTCAGTACTGTTGGGAACAATAAAGAGAGCTTTTTTAAATGTGTCAAAAGCAAAAGCCAGTCCAGAACTAACACTGGCCCATCATTTGATGTGGATGGTCATCTACAAACAGGGACATAGACAAAGCAGAGATGTTAAATGCTTTCTTCGTTTTGGTCTTCAACACCAGCGATGTGATCTGAGAGTCCCAGTGCCCTGAGCTGGAGGACCATGATTGTGAGGACAGTTAACTCCCTGCCAACCTCAAACTTGAAAAGGATTTGCTGTTCCTGCTGGATCTCTATATATCTATAGGTCCTGATGGGATTTATCCAAGAGTACTCAAAGAGCTGGCTGATGTCATTGCAAGGCCTCTCTCAATGATTTTTGAATGTTCTTGGGAATCTGCAGAGGTCCCAGTCAACTGGAAGCTAGAAAATGTTGTCCCAGTTTTTGAGAAGGGCAAGAGGGTAACCTGGTAACCAAGACCCTGATAACTACAAGCCTGTCAGTTTCACTTCAGTGGGAAGCAAAATTATGGTGAAGAAAGGTTCTTCACCCAGAGGGTGGCTGACCACTGGAACAAGCTCCCCAGGGAACTGGTCACAGGACCAAGCCTGTCAGAGTCCAAGAAGCATTTGGACAATATTGTCAAGCACATACTGTGATTCTTGGGGCTGTCCTGTGCAGGGCCAGGAGTTAGACTCGATGATCCTGGAGTGCATTGGGAAAAGTGTGGCCAGCAGGTCGAGGGATGTGATCCTCCCCCTCCAGTCCGCCCATGTGAGGCCACTTTTGGAGTATTGTGTTCAATTCTGGTCTCCAGCAGAGGGTCATTAAGATGTTTAGGGGTCTGGGAAATCTCTCTTATGAGGGGAGACTGCAGGATCTGGACCTGTTTAGTCTAGAGAAGGCTTGAGAGGGGATCTCATAGATACATACAAATATCTCAAAGGTGGGTGTCAAGAGGATAGTGCCAGACTCTTTCAGTGGTTCCCAGCGACAGGAGAAGGAGCACTGGCCATAAATAAACCACAAGAACTCAATGTGAGTTCTTCCACAACATGAGGAAGAACTTCTTTACATTGAGGGTGGCAGAGCACTGGAACAGGCTGCCCAGGGAGGTTGTGGAGACATTTGTCTCCTCTCTGGAGACATTTGAAACCCCCCTGGATGAGTTCCTGTGTCACCTGTTCTAGGTGTCCCTTCTTTGGCAGGGGATTGGACTGGATGATCCCCAGAGGTCCCTTCCAACCGTAAAAATTCTGTGATTCTGTGATCCTTCCAACTCAAGATATTCTGTAATTCAGTGATTGTGATAGTTTTGTGATATTTCAAAAATACTGAAATACTAGAAAGTTTTCCTTTACGCACAGGCAGTTTTATACAATCTGGGATATTTTATTAATCTTTTGATACATTTTTCTGTGAGAAAAATGTTTAAGATTGCATTTTATGAAACGTATAATTTGAATATGCAGGTGGACATTAACACCGATATAAAAAAGAACTTGTATAGTTTGAAGATAATAACTGAATAAGCTACTCATAAGACTAGATAAGTCAATTTTTATGCATTATGAAAGGGAAAACACAAACCTAAAAATTGAGTTATTCAATTGTTTTGAATCTTGATCAGATAGGTCACATATTGAAAGAAATAGATAAAAAATTATTTACAAGAAAACAAGTTGGTTTGTGTTATATATGGCAAGTATTTAATAAGGTTTCATAATACCTGGTTAATGTAGTGCTTTTGCAGAAGACATCATAACTGTGTATCTTAAGTTACTAAAAAAGTGACTAAAGTGACACCAAAAAACATGACTGTTTTACAGTTTGGTATTATGTAGAAAATTCTGAGATGTCTCTCCACCATTAGTCCGGTGCATAATAGCATCCAAAAAGCATTAGTTGTTAATAAAATGAAATTGCTAAGAACTCAAATTAGCATACAGCTATATAAACCTATAACTTCCTTCATTAGGTTTTGGTTTTGGTGGGTTTTGTTTTTTTTTTTCTCAAAGAGAAGATTACTTCATTGAATATAGTCTGGTATAATAAATACAATTTGGCAATGTAAGGTCATCAATGCAATGTAAAACTAAACAGCCAGAGAGAGATACTTTTGGAATTGCAAGTGGAACCCTGTGATTGAAAATTCATTTGTGTACAATTTTGTGTGCTTTAATTAGTATCTAAGCATGCAATTTAGCATATTTTTCAAGAGGATGATGGAGGTGGTTTCTGTTAACAGTTGCATACTAATTGATTCTTCTTGCTCACTAGTATGCATAACTCTTCTGAGATGTATTTTTCATGTGTTTGATAAAATATCTTAATAGTTGCTTCCTTTGAACAAGGAGGAATTTTTATCAGGCAAGTGGATACTTGTAGTACTTCTGTTCTAATGAAGCTAAAGCAATATAACCTAATTTATCTGTCATAGAAGAATTTCCTCACAATACTTACTTGTTCAAAAAGTTTAAAAGTTGGTTTGGTTTTTTTATAATTAATTATTAAAAATAATTAATTTTTAAAATAATTTTAAAAGAGAGCTTTTCCTATTAGAGGTAGATGGTTATTTCATTAAGTTTAACTGAGTGTCAGCTCATCCATTTATGTTTCCAAAGATGTTACAGCACACATAAAGACATTAGGCTCAAAATAAAAGTAAAAAAGTCTCTATCGAAGGCCACTCTTAACTCAAGCATGTTCCAAGTATTTGGATGGCTAAAATATCTTCTTTGTATTGGGAAATTAAGAGTGTAATTTTCACTTGGGTTCCAGGAGACATAAGTAGTACTACCATGAGCAAGTCATTTGCCCCAGTTGAGAAACTAAAGACCTCTAATCTTCTTGCCACTATCTGCTTCATTTCAAAGAACCAGGTTAATTCAGCACTTCTTATCATCTCTAAACTGCTTACCCTGGTTACATGAAGAACCCCTCCACTCCGACTTTGCTATGTCTGGCTGCACACTGGGAACTTTTTAGGCGAGGCTTGTTGCCTTTCTTTACCTGTAACATGGGTGCTGATATAGTTTGATGGCTCTGTACCCATTAACTCTAAGGATGAACAAGTCTGTTATTGAGAATTATGAGCATCAGAGAAGAGTGAGCAGTATAATAGAAGAGCTGTGAACCTAGAAAGGGAAGTGTGTGGGGGGGCGGAATCTAACTTTTCTAGTGAAGAGTAGTTGATGACTCTCTTTAGTCCGTAATGTACTCCATAGGAATAGGATTGTGGTATGTTAATTACTGATGTATCATGAAATATACAGGGATAAATTAGGGAAGGTGACCTGAACTACAGGCATGACAAATGAATTTACTGTTAGAGCTAAGACCAAACCTTGCTGTTTCAGCTGTAAAGGACTGTCTCTGTAATATCAAGGTCTGTTTCTATTTATGATAGCTCAAAATCCACACTTAATGTGACTTGCAGAAGTCAGATTTACTTTTCAGCTATAGATGTGTGGGAAATGGAGATTATAAAGACCTCATTTTGCAGAATCTTTATGAAATAATAGAAACTATTATGTAAGAGTTGGGTTTTATTACTGTTACTTCGCAGTATTAATGATATATGATATAGTAGCATTTGAATCTTAGGCTACAGAGCCTTGTGTCTCTAAAAAACAAAATTTGTAAGCAAGGTTTCTTTTAAAATAGAAATAGTATGTGTTCATTTGCTATTAACTTTACTGTTGGATTCTGAGATTAGTGGATGAAGATGCTACTATTTTAATGAAATACATAATGCTATTTGTTTTATTTTCCTCTTTTAGTTATTTGGATGGAAATCAGTTTACCCTTGTTCCAAAAGAGCTTTCCAACTACAAGCATTTAACACTCATGTAAGTAGTTTTAGAGCAACTTTCTCTACTGGAATTAAAAACTAAACAAAACAAAATACCCTACTCAATTATACCTGATTTTATGTATAAGAAATATCCTGTAAAATATATCATATCTTTCAGCAAATATAATACCCAACCATGTTTTATAACTGTGGATATTTTATTCCACTTATCACTTCTTACATATAATAGACTTGGTCACATTTTATGAACAGGGATATTTCACTCCAGTGATTACATCACAAAGTAAATAACCAGAAATTATAGTTACCCACAAAAGAGACATAAGATCTTATAAAGTCAGGGTAATTAGAGTAAGGTGTTAGGGTAATACAGCATTTTTTAACACAGCTCCATGAAAGCACTAGAATGATTTAATTTACAGAAGAAGCATTCAGTGGTATGCTTCACTCCGTGCTATGCTTCGTGTAGGAATGCCACATATTCTGTTTGTCCCACAATATATGATTTTCATGACTCAAGAAGAGAGCTTGTATAAGATGCCTTACTGACAACTCCATCACTGAATCACTAGGTGATTTGAGGCAAATCATTAGTTGCTCTAAAATTTATTAGCTCTACTTCATGAATGGTATGAATATGATTTCTGTACCTTCTAAGTGTACAGTGGGAGAAACAGGAAGATGTAGATGTACATGGCTGTAATTCCATGGTCTTTGTTAGGACTATAAAAATTTATACCAGCTGAGGTTGAACTGTGTTACACTCTGAAAGCAGTTTGTGGTTTCATTATAATCAGAATGAAAAGGGGAGGGGAATAACAGAATCCCTTAAATTTCTTTTTGATTGGGTTTAGAACTTTGCTGCAAAATTTGAAAATAGTTTGGCATTCAAAAACAAGAGCTCGATTTCCTTTATTTCCCTCATGCTAGACAAAAATAGTCACAATCATAAATTAAAAAAAAACAACTTTACGAATATTCTGTTTTTCAAATAACATCAGGAAAAAACCCTTGCAATCTTCTCAAATGTATGCAGTGTAAAGCCTGTAGGAAGTCTTTGTGAATTGTTTAGGGAAGTTATACAAGATCTAATTTGCAGCACACATAAAATATATACTTTGGAACCTCTGTATGAGAAACGGTGGACTGAGTGCAGTAAGAGTATCAGTGGAGACTGGATATGTGTCTAGAGATGAGGTTACTTAGTAGCAAAGTGACAAGGCTTCCATCACAGAGGTTAAATACTCATGGTCTAGTTTTGATGAATGCAGCCAGAAACTTTATAATTTTACCTCGTAATCAGAAAACTCACACAAACAATTTAGCAGACAAATGTAATACAATAAATTAGAGGTGAACAATAAATAAAATGCAAATGAGTATTGTCTCCATTTATAAGACCTGTGGGGCACATTATTTTAAATTCTTCTGTATGTTTACTCACACTGCTGTTAACAAAGTTGAGAATGTTCTTCAGCTGTGTTTGAAAAACAAGACCACTATGCATAGTCCTTCTGTGGCCAAAGTATTACATACGAGTCTCCTGAGTTCCAGATTAACAAGGAAATTTGTTTATTTTTAACTTTTTCTTTCTCTTTTGAATAGATTGCTTTGTTGTACTTGCCTAATATGTTTATTGTTGTGAGTCATTTGTCTTTCATGAAAATTTCAAGCAGACAAATATGTATATTGCATATCTATTCAACCATACTCTTAAGTTAAAATATCAAGGTTCCCTCAGAAACAAAGGCAGTATTTCACCACAAAATACAGTAAGCAATAGTGAAATAGTCAACATAGAATGAAAAGTAAAGCACAGTATGAGAATAAAGAACAGGCAGTATTCACATTTAATACAGCTTCTATGAAGCTACCAGCATACCACTCCAGCTCTCATCATACTTGTGCTTTAGATTTTATTCATCAGAATATTGACGAAGAAAGATGTTAAGGCTTTCTCTATAAATCTTAGATAGAATTCTTTACAATAATAGCTCTGGGCTTCAATGTCTTCAGCATGTAAGTGTTAAATAGAGTATTAGATGATCTTTACTCAGATGTCATTAGGGACATGACTAGAATGGCTTCCACTTTAAAACATCACTTTCGTTTTTGTACTTGAGTTCATGTAGGATTGCATTATTAACTCGGTAGCATGATGGACTTTGCTATTGTATAAGAATGCATTGGGCTGCTTTTTCATCTGTTAATCATTGATCAAGCTTCATCATTGATCAAGCTAAACAACTGCTAGGCTTGTATATGGCATGTGAATAAAAATAGGTGCTGCTTTAAATATTGATATGAAGGGATGATACTATTTCTACTAATAAAGATAATGTGTCTGTCAATTTAACTTACAGTGTTTCAGGACTGGGGCAGTCATTTTAAGGTCTGAATTTCTGAATTTATTTTTTAGAGATTTAAGTAACAACAGAATCAGCACTCTTTCTAATCAGAGCTTCAGCAACATGACTCAGCTGCTCACCTTGTAAGTTTAAACATGTAACAGTGACTCTTTGAAAGCATTACAGTGGGGTTTTTTGGTCTTGGAAAGACTGGGCATGTAGTTGATATTAAAGCTTGCTTGTTTTGGAGGCTGTAAAATAACTTGTTTCCTAACTAGCTATGTATGCAAAAGCTGATTTTGGTCATGCTCTGCATTGTTTACTGAATGACTGATATACTTGCTGACAGTATTTTATATGTTTTCAGAATTCTTAGTTACAACCGCCTCAGATGTATCCCTGCACGGACTTTTGATGGGCTGAAATCACTTAGGTTGTTGTAAGTATTATTTTTTAATCACTGCTATTTTACAGAATTTTTATTTGGGTACAGCAGATAGCAGATCCATAGGAAGTTAGCAGCTTTTAAAACTTGTCAGATATTTGGGAAGTGATAATTACATAGCCTTAAAAATGTAAGTGGCTTCATTCTTGGAAAGTATAATCTCAAAATGCTTCACAAGAAGTTATGTGACCCTGGAGAACATTTTATATACAGACATACACTTTTTATTTTTCTGCTTTCTAATTTTACCCGTATTTCTTTTTTTGTGTTATGTTCTTCCTTGTTATAAGCATTAAGATCTAGCAAAAATGCCATATGCATAAATTCTATCAGTATATATGAGATGGTTTTGCAGTTGAATTTTTAATATTTTATTCCAGCACTAAATTTCTTTCTGTCTTGTTTCATTTAGTGTGGGAGTATTTCCAAAACAATGGCATCATGGTTAACTATTGAAAATCAATAACATTACTTTTTGGTTCCAAGAAAACTTTCCATTTTACCACTAAGAAAAACATGGTTGAAAGCCACAGAAAGGGACAAAGGAAAATAAAGAACAGTCAGTCTAATTTACAGCTTCAGTTTGTCATTAAGAAAAAAGCCTGCAAAAAATCTTTTTCAAAAGTCCCCAGTAGAACATGTAATTTTAGCTTTCATTTGGGTAATTTATAACCATTTAAGAGCTTAGTTGGATTAAATGTCTCAAGTATGGCATTATTTAAGTGTGCTCATAACTTCAGTTATTTAATATAAATATGGATAATTTCAAGAGCCATAATTTTATATGTGTTAGATATTCATGTAACTGAATGAATTTATAGAAAAGGGGTGATATTTTTGTGCAGGCTTGCTACAAGAGAGATAACACTATTCCCAGTATTGATGCTTAATGAAGTCTTTCATTCTCTACCTCTACTATCAAATTAGGACAACAGCCTTAATATTTATATTAATGAACAGTCAATACCTGTATTTTCCACAAATCCATGAAAGATTTAAAAGAACATATGGACATAGTTAATGAGAATTTCAAGGAGTTGCAGAAAAAGAGTTAATAACTCTTCTACTATCTCTAAATCCAATCAGTACTTTGCAGAAGTGTGCCAACTTTATTAACTTTTATTTGTTAATTTTAAAATAATCTCAGTATTTACATTTCTTATGAAAATTCAGGATGCAAAAAATTGAATTACAAGTAGGCTGCCAGTTAGAGCTTAAAAAAAACTCCAAACAACAAGCAGCTGGAAACACCAAGGAACTGGAATTGGAAGAAAAAAATATGAAAAGCTGAAAACTGTTTACAGAAGATGAAATTTGCCAAGTTAACCAGCTGATTTTTATGCATATATTATGTTTATTTTCTTTTTAAGGTCTTTACATGGCAATGATATTTCTGTTGTTCCTGAAGGAGCCTTTAATGATCTTTCAGCATTATCCCACCTGTGAGTATTCAGATGTTAACTGTATTTTTTTGTTACGTTTAGCAAATTTCCTATAATCAAACAAAGACAGGATGCAAAGGACTTCTCTGGAAGAAGCACATGCATCTCTAGAGGCTGGGGGCTAGCCAGAGAAAAATCCTGGGCCTGCTTCTGGGCTGCAAATTAAAGCTGTGTACTATGTGCCCTAATGGCTATGAAGGCTAAGGACGCTGGGCTGAATTACAAAATGAGTAGCCAGGAGACTGATCACTCCCTTCTGCTTGGCCCTCCTAAGGCCACATCTGGAATATGTGTTCAGTTTCTCCAGCACAGAGCAGTGTGGGACAAACAATGTGAGCTGTGAGGAGAGTCTACAGGAACTGGGTTTATCTAGCCTGGAGAAGGGGATGCCAAGGAGCTCTCCAATAGTCTTTAAGCCTTTGACAATTACAGCAGTGTTGGAGGCAGTTTTTTCTCAGAGGTGCACAGTATAAGAGTAAACCATCACAACCTGCAACAAGGAAAATTTGATTGAACATAATGAAAATTCTTCACTGTGAGGATGGTTCAGCTTTGGAACAGGTTGCCCAAAGAAGCAGGAGAATCTCCATCCCTAGCGATTTTCACAGCTCAGCTGGACACAGCCCTGAGCAACCCTGACTGTGCAGGTAGCCCTGCTTTGTGCAGGAGGTGAGACTAGATGACCTCCAGAGTGCCCTAAATTATTCTGTGATTCTGTATTGGTGTCTGTTAAGTTGACATTAAACACATGGCATCTGATTTCAGAATGTAGTTTGAGGCAATGTTTTTCCGGTTTTTAATTTTCAGTGGGAACCTAAATTAGAACAAGCTGCCTTCTGCAAATCTTGTTGTGTTTATGAGTAGTTATTAAGTCTTTGAGAAGTAATTTGACTAGTACCTTTAGATATATCTGGGATTTTAAGTTTCTGAACAGCTGCAGTTGTTAAAAATCTAGCTATCTGTTTCTGGTTCACTATTGGACATTTCTCAGAAATTTGATACTGATTAAGCTTTCAGTTGTTGATAATTCATTCAAATGCTACTATTTAACTAGTTTATCTGTAGGAAGTATCAGTAAAACTTATGTCGGTTTGATTGGTATTGCTGGTATTTTTTTCTTAATGGCTGCCAGTTATCCTTGCTAACACTGATTTTAGCAGGGCAATTGTGTTATCTCAGTTCAGGCTGCCATTGACTCCTGTACATATGGAGTGGAAAAATTCTAGGTTTCTCCTTGCATGGAAAGTTCCCTGTCACTAAGTCTTATTTTTGTTACTGCTCTGACTTAAGCCTGACTGAACAAATACGTACATTTTCTTGAGTTCAGCTGTAATTTAGGAAAATTATGAGAGAGCTTCCTGCTCAGTGGGGCAGAAAAGAGTGTTTCAGCACTGGTAGTTTCTATTGCCTTTGCTTGCCAAAGACTTTCTTGTATTTCTAGAAGACCCACTGACCCAAGATGTGCAACAATCTGAAAAAAAAATGCTGAAACATCTGGAGAAGGAGGATGTTCTAATACTGCAATTTGACAGTGTTTGCACATGTCAAGATTATCTGCTGAAAGTTCTGTGATTATTGTATTTCTTAAAAGGAACATAAGTATATGGAACATTCTATATCTTTATAGAATAGCACAATGCTTCTGTCCTCCAAATTAACTCCAAAATGTATCATTGTTGTCAGACTTTTAAGAGTATTTATGGTTTCTAGCAGAGAAAATAAAAACTTAAAAAGCTGTTACAGAAATTAATTCTGAAAATCTCCAGCTAATTTTTTTTAATTAAAAAAATCAGAAAGATCATCATTTAAAGAAATGGATATGCTTTCATAATGGTAATGTAGTTTTATTTACTTGTGCAGCAGAGAACTCTTACAGAATTCTGCACATAGTTGTGAGTTCAGTGGGAGAGCTCCAAAGAGGAAATAATTAAATCAAATTTGGAAGCTTAAAAACAGATGGTTTATACCAGTCTGGGAGCCATAAACTGAAAAGGAAAAATATCAGGGCGCAACTCTGTGGACTTGCGTTGGCTGCTTCAGAAGAAATACTTTATTCTTGCTAACCTAATTTTGCAGTATCAGTTTCATTCTGCTCATGCAGCTGATCTTTGTCATTACATGCCAATGGTGAAACAGAGCTAGTTAGTATAAGCTCACCAAAGTTCACACCTGGTGCAGTTAAGAATAATGAGGTTTCTGGATCAAGTTTACTGATAAAACTATCACTTCTTGATCCAGAACCCAAATCAAGACACTTGGTGCTCTTACAGGCATGTTGGTGGTGGGAGAGTAGGTTTGTGATTTGAATGGTTTTTTGCCAACCTATTTTCTGGATTCTCTTTTAAAAAGCAACCATTTAAAGCTTGATTTCCTTTTTCATTTGTCTGTTTTCCACAGGGCTATTGGAGCAAATCCTCTTTATTGTGATTGCAACATGCAGTGGCTATCTGACTGGGTAAAATCAGAATACAAAGAACCTGGTATTGCACGTTGTGCTGGTCCTGGAGAAATGGCAGATAAACTTCTTCTCACAACTCCTTCTAAAAAATTTACTTGCCAAGGTACTGTTGCTATTTTTTTCTCTTTGAAGTGTCAATTTTGAATTTTTACAAATAGTTGAACTGTAAATTAAGACTGTTATGTGCTCTAAATACATTTATTATAGCATCTTCACTAAACCTTGTCATCATTATTCCTCATACTTAGGGATGTAGTCATTGGTTCCATTCAGGAACTGCATTTATTTTAAAAATTTCAATGCCTATATCTTTTAAAATAGATGGAGAAAAAAGTCTTTGGATTTGCAGTACAGTATTCCTCAGTACGTGATGTACAAATGTACTTTGTACTGCCTCAGCCATGAACTACAGTTTAACCATCTACACTTCCCTTGGCCTTTTTCCTCCCAACCATTTACAGTAAAAACTGTAAATACATCTATAATCCTTGCAGTCTGAAATGAAATGCATCAATATGGCCAGAATGCCTCCTCTTATATTTCAGAAGAAAGTATAAAAAAGAAAAAAAAGCAACAAGAAAAAAGTAGATAAAGGAATGTGATAATCTATAGAAGTCTCATTCTAAAATGTTGTTAAATGGGCGGGTTTCTAAGGGTATTTATCCCCATGTTGGTGCCAGTGTTGCTGGCATTTATATCACAACTCATATTACTGTAATTTCCTAGATTCTTTTTCTGAACTATACTATTTCTTTTTAGAAAAGTTCCTTTTTTACTTACATCAAGTGAGAATTTGGTTTGTTTATTGTTTAATCTTCCTCTATTCCATTTATTTCTCCATTCTTAATTATTTTGAAAACACACAAAACTGCTACTGTAGCCTCATTTTTCTTGGTCCTTATTTAGAAACACTGAAATCCCAAATTAAAAAAAATTGTGTTCTTATATCTGTAAACCGTTACAAAGCTCATAGTATTTTCTGAGGCATTGGATAAATATGATCTTTAATCTTGTAGAATTAACTGATTCTCAGCATCTAGGTAATCTTCAAGCTGTTTTGATTTATTCATCTGTTAGCGTATCTTCAAATGTGAGCTTAATCCCTTTGTAATTTTTGTCTTAAAAAAGCAGTGGGACTTTGTCAGAGTTTGTCTCATTTAAAGTTGTTCTTTACTGCATGTTCAACCTATTTAGTCTTCTCTTTAGACCTGTCAGAAACTTTTTTTTTCTTTTTCTTTTTTTTTTTTGTGAACAAAAACCACTGGAACCCATCTCGTTACTTGTACTTCCAATGAAGTTTCTGTCCTTCCAAATCCTCTTCCAGTTTTTCAGCAGTACATCTCTGAGGTCATGCCAGTGTTCATTGCATTTGACACTCATCTGTTGCAAAGTCTCTTAGCTTGGTTTTACATAGGACATTTGCTAGCCAGTCTGGTCATTTTCTTTACAAGCATCTACTGAACATTATTGCAGATATGCTCTTGTTGCACGCTGTTGTAGGGATATAAGTGAAAGAATATTTGTATGGACATGAAGGATCTGCTTAGTTTTTTTTCCAGTTCTGATAGTTTTAAAAACTGTATCCAGTTCTGATAGTTTAAAAACAATGCCTGCAGTCATTATTATATTTCAGTCAGACAATCCAGAGAGTATATCTTACTCCCTCTTGCCCATCAGAAAATATCCTTTGTATTATTGTTCAGGGTAAGAACTGTGTGTTTGTTTCACTTCCAAGAGTAGACATCTAGTATTATGGATACCTTTGAAAGAAAATAGTTTTTCTTTTATTGTCCTATGAAGATCCTCCTAATTACAGATTGCAAATCAGCACCTTTTCAATGACATGATGGCCCCGTAAGACATTATGTCTGTTACTCAAAGATAAGTAATTTTATCTTTTGCTTAAAAATGTATTACTGAATAATAGAAATTAGGGAGATGCTATATTCCTATTAGAACCAACATTTTAGGCTATGAGTGAGAGGGCTATTTTCAGAATATCTGTGGATGGTCTGCTACAGTATATATATTTATGGAAAAAGAGTAATGTGTAATTCCCTCTTTTTGGTGTCTGTGGATTCAATTGCAAGTGAAATTGGTGCCCAGATTTTACCTACATAATGCATAGTTCCCAATGAAAATGGCATTTTAAAATAAAGTCTCATCTCAGTTGTAAAGCTCCATAAAATCACTGTACCTTACTCTAATTTTATTAATGCTTTTACTCGAGGAATCATCTCTTAACATTTTCTTCTTTCAGTTATTTTTCTATGTTTATGGGTAGTTTTTTTCTTTCTTTTTCTCTCTTTTTCTCTCTTTTTCTCACTTTTTCTCTCTTTTTCTCTCTCTCTTTTTCTCTTTCTTTTTCTCTCTTTCTTTTTCTTTCTTTTTCTGTCTTTTTCTTTCATGTGGCCTCTAACAGCTTCTCAATCTTTTACTTTTGCCTCTTAACCATCCATGCCCTGCTTCTAGAGATTCCAGGGCCTTGTGGTTTTCTGGTACCAGGTAAGGTTGTAAATAGATCTGGAATGGATGATCTTATTAAGAATGTACCTTCTGACCTTCCTTTTGTGTACCTCAAGCAGACTTCTTTCCTAAGACATGCATGTTTATTGTTTGTTTCCCCCGTGATGAATTTACAGCTGACTATTCATGATATATTGTTTAGCATATTGTATGAACCATTTTGTTATTTTAAAAGTCTGAGTTTGAGGTCTGAAAATTATCTAACTGAAATTATTATTTCCATTGCATTGTACTAAAATTGGTGATTTCATTAGCAGTGTAGATATTGGTGCAAGACAGGAGTCATAAAATGTCAAAGCTCAAAGTTTTCCTTGCAACAGGTTTCTCTACAAGCTAGTTTGAGAGGGTTTGTGTCATGATTTTCCTTAAAAAAAAACTTAGCTATTGTAGCTATCTGTACACACATAGATGTGTGTATCTGTGTTTTTCAATAAAATGCTATTAGTTTTTCACTGTTACAGAAGAATTTTTTTCCACTTAGAGTTTATTCAAGAACATATATGCCTACAATATGAAAAATGAAACAATAGGTTGTGAACCAAATTCTTTTTCATGTACAAGTCTTTTAACACATACAAGCAGAAAGAGGAAAGGAACAGTATAGTGAAAATGACAATAGGCTCCAGAACTGCCTTTGCATTTTTTAATCTTACAACTGAAGAATAAATCAAAATATTAATTTGTATTGGACACTACATACATAATAGTTTGAAATAAACACAGTACAAAATCAGACAGTGTTGTTTACTATCTCGCTGAGACTTGGGTTCCCATTTTCTGTCTCTGTTTTTGAAGTGAAATTTGAATCGCTAATCTGTTTGGGAAAAAGACTGAATGTTTTTTAATTCATGCCAATTAATTAGCATTTTATTCCATGAAAAGTAGATAAGAGGATATGATGTTTAAAATAAACAGAAGGAAAGATTGACTCCTGGGCTACAGCACAGTTTTACGAATTTTTAAGTATGTGCCTCTTGCACCTTATTTTTTTTCACAGAGCACCTTAATATACTTTAGCAATAATCAGCAATACTCTGGAGTAAAGTCAGAACTTTCTAGATTTTGCTCCTATGATGTTTGTTTCAACTTTTCTACCTCTCCTGTGTGCTGGTCTAATAGATACTTTAACCAGGTATAGATTTCTCTTTCAAAGTAGGGTAATGAAGGCAAAAAAAGTCAATGATCCATACACATTGTAGCTTAGGCAATACATGTGTTATCACATATTACCATGTCCTGCTTGCAAGCTGTGACACAGAAGGGTACCAGCAACTGCACATTTAAAAAAAAAAAAAAGTCAGCTGCTCCTTGTCTAATACCCTCTACTGAATCCTTACAATCACATGGCTTCCTTCCATGCCAGCTCCTTTACAATGACTCATCTGAGATTAATTTGCAAAGAAAAAGAAGAAAGTCAAGCAATCTAAGTTTAAAAATAGAATAAAACCCCATATCTCAGCAAAGCCCTTTTTGCTTGGAAAACTCTGCAGTTTGGCTCATTTTGTGTAAAACCTCTTAAGGAGCAATCAGGCATTTGCACTAGTAGGTCCCACGGGTTTTTTGTCTAGTTAGAAGAAATCACTGGTTATTCCTTAAAATATGCAATTCACCTGTGGATAACTGAAGGGTTTTTTTCATAGGGGGAATCTGAAATCAAACTGGAGGCAGTAATGTCATCAGGCAATAGAGCTGGAGATAGAGAATGTATGTTTATTTTCTTAATAGGCATTTGGCAAAGTCACTTGTTTTCTCTTACACTAATCAAACCTCCTCACAAAGTTTATGAAAATTAATCATTATTTATACACAGGTGATATCTAATTTTTAACAAATAACCAGTGATTTCTTTGGTTGTTTGACAAAAAAAATTAAAAGCATGGCCCCTAACTTGAAAATTCACTGTGAAATGGCTGTAAATTTTAAAACAACAGAAATATAAATAAATATCTAAAAATATCTATATAATAGCAATAAGATTTTTGTAGGCCAAAGCTTTAAGTCTGGCTTCTGAAACTTAGGGATTTGTCAATAATAATTTCTGAATTCTGTCATTATAATCATTAATATAAGAAACCGGACTGCAAGCATGGCTTGCAGTCTTCATTTGCACATAGATTCATGGTATGGTTTGCATAATTTGTGGGCTTAGCTAATGCAGTAATGCCAGAACTGTGTCTGACTCATAAGGGAGAAAGACACAGTATAGAGCTATTTACTGTGAGATAGCTTTGACAATGCAGTTTAAATTACAGACTTTAAAAAAAGTCTATAGATTTTCAACGAACTTACAGGTAATTTTGGGGTGTCTGTGATCCTGCAGATAAAAAATAAATTAACACAAAATTGCATTAAAAGCAGTGTTCTCAGTAACCACCATCAAGGGAAGGATTGGAAACTGTGATAGCCCATTTTCTCATAGGCAATTTCTATCCCCTAATGAAACAAAAGCTGAAATCATATCCTTTATTTTGTTGATATGAAGGGAAGATAATCATCGTGGATCAGAATTGTACAGCTTTCGGAAAATAGGGATATAAAAGTCACTTCAGTGTCAGCTTCTTAAAAAAAAAAAAAAAGTGATACTTAAACCAAAAATCCAATCCCAAATTTATTTGGTCACATCAAAAGAATTAAGAACAGTCCAGCATTTCATACATATAGAAACACCACAAAGTCTAAAATATGAAGGTTTTTTTAAATTTAAAGCAACATGGCAGATAGATCCTTTCAAATCTAATAGTTGCTTCATTCTGACTATTCATTTTGTATTTTTAAGGGCCCGTGGATGTTAATATTCTTGCAAAGTGTAACCCCTGTTTATCAAATCCTTGTAAAAATGATGGAACCTGCAACAATGATCCAGTTGACTTCTATAGATGTACATGCCCATATGGTTTCAAGGTAGGTACTGAATGAAAAGGAAAAAGCTCACTGAAATTTAAGCTTCTCCTTTACAACCTTTACATTTTCTTTGTCTGTCTTCCACTAGTGTCTATATTTTCTTCTTACATTATAATTGTTGTTCCTTGCATAGGGTCAAGACTGTGATATTCCCATTCATGCTTGCATTAGTAACCCCTGCCACCATGGTGGAACTTGTCATTTGAAAGAAGGAGAAAAAGATGGTTTCTGGTAGGTTTTTCAGTTGTTAAATGAGGATGGAAAACTACTGCATTTTATATGCTGAAATAATTTTAGTGTTAATCTTTGGGTTCTTTGTGTTTGATGGTAAATGCACCACAAAGGCACATGTTTCAGAATATTTCACCATCCTTGGAAAGCTTCTAAAGCTTTTAATCTATTAAAAACAATAACAAATGATTGTGATTAGTTGAGGCATATCAGGTCAAGACAACATAGTATTGACTCCATTATGTTAATTAATAGCTAGCTAGATCCCTGCTGAAAAATATCTCACAATTCATCTGTTGTTGTATGTATTACTTCAACAGACAGCATGTAAATGATAAAATGTAAATCCCAGTGAAACAGAAAATTAATGATTCATTTGAAACTCACTATGCCAGCAGATAAACATGCTGTGAGCATTTTTAATCTTGAGTTATTTAATCACACAGTACAATTACTCCAGATGTACTTCATGAATTATGAAATAAAGTTCTTTAGCATTCTTATGTGAAATTATTAGTCATTTAATAATCTACACCTCAAGCTAGTTAGAAATGACACTACAAAAAGATACAATTCATTATCCTGCAATTCATTATGACATTATTCTTATTTTTAATCCAAATTCTGCCCAAAGATTGAACAGTTTTCTATTAAAAAATAAGTGTATACATCTTAATATTGTGCCTCAAGGATTTAAATTGACATAGTCATGCCTCAGAATGTTACCTTTTTCATTTATTTGTTTAAACACTACATATTTCGAAAATCAAAGCAATCTCATAATGAAAGCTGCAGAAATTATAGATAGTGCAAATTACAAGAAAATGTATGTGTAGTCATGTTTGAGTGACTTTTACATTCACTATCTATTTTGATGTACTTGTTTTGCATAAACAAGCTTAAAAGCAAAAAATAAATTACTGCTTCACAGAGTTTATACAGGCTTTGTTTTTTTGTATGAATGCATGTATTGTGCATGGAACATTAAAGAGAGTTTTATATTGGTGCATTTAACTGAACAAAAGTGGAATACTACTATTACATACTAATCCCTGATTTGTCTTTTCCATGTGTTTAACTAAAAAACCAAAAGGATCACTTTCTATAAGAAATATAATCTTATAATGTAAAGGTAGCACACTTTTTAAAAGGAATGTTCCATGAATGTCCCTTATACTAAAGATTAAGGTACAACTTTAGAAGCCTTTTTTCTGTAATTTAAAATATGAAAAATATTTCAGTAACATTTATTATGTGGGGATTTTTTACATTATATAAATTGTATTCTGTTATGGAATAGTGATTATAAATTATTGTACCTATTAATTACAAAGCTCCTTGTCCAGACTCCCCAGCTAAAATATGCATGTGGTTATTCTGTTTTCAATATTACAGGTGCACTTGTGCCGATGGATTTGAAGGTGAAAACTGTGAAGTAAATGTTGATGACTGTGAAGACAATGACTGTGAAAATAATTCTACTTGTGTGGATGGAATTAATAACTATACTTGCCTTTGTCCACCTGAATATACAGGTAGGAGTATAAGAGAGAGCACAGGCAATTCAAGAATTCCTAGCAGAACAGTAATATTTTCCACTTTGCAGGTGAATTATTAGTTACTCTACAACTGACTTAAGGCCAATTTTCCCTCCATATTTTTCTCCTGTATGGTTTGTAGTCAAAAGTAGACTTAATGCCCACTCATTAATTCCTTTGTTAGTTTTGAAATTAAGGCATTTTTATATTTAAAATGTCATTCAAAATGTGCCCCTCCCTACTGTTTGCCTAGACACCCCAGTGAAGGACCTCTGTAGCTGTAGGAATCTGAAAAATATTCTGCTTTTATCATGTAAACCTCATTTTACTAACAGGGTAGAAAATGATTTGTCTGTGCCCGTGGGGAACAGTGTATTTGGCACCCCTGAATGCTTTCCTGCCCCCTGTTAGAAATATTAATACAGAGCGTGATGCTTCCTGCACGGAAAACAAAGACAAGTGTCTAATTATTTCTTTCTATCAGTCGGCAGCCAAGGCAAAGCATTTCCTTCTCTTTGAGACAGAGGATGTCTGGCCTGCTGTCATTGTTTCTGCAGCAATGGAGGATAGTTAGAAGAGCAGCACAGAGGAAGTAGGATCTGTTGTTTGCATTGATCTGTTTTATAGTTTTTCTAACTAGACAGATCTATATTCTCTCAGCTAGCTGACCTCTAGGAGAACATAGAGCTTAATTTCACAAAACCGTGATTTGAAATGCATAAAAAAGAAATGTAAGGTCCACCATAACTTAGGGATTAACTCTACACAGTCATCCTATATTTTTGCTTTAATCAATCAATCAAATTTGAGCTCTGGAAAACTGTGAGGAGAGGTGAACTCCTGAATAAATTTCATTTTTTGAAAACACAGCTCACTGTTTTCTCACCCAAAGTGTTTCTATTATTAGTTCTACAACCTATTGGATTGCTACAATGTTTTGGGGTATTCAAATTTAAAGTCAGTATTTAAATCTTGGGAATGCACAGTGAGTGAATATGATAAAACACAAGTATAGGAAATACAACTTCATAATCTAGTATACGTATTCATCTATAAATGTTTGGTAGAATTGACAATTCAGGCCTTGGAAAGAAATAACAGGTAACAGCATCAGTAAAGACAGACAAGTGTTTGCTATTCCTCCTACAACTAATATTTCAGGCATATGTGAGTTAAGCTTCAGCTCCCTTGGGATCATTTACTATCTCATGTAAAAATGGGATCAGACATTCTTTTGTGTAGGCTGGAAGAATGCAAAGCAAAGTCACATTTTTTATGTTTGTATTGCAGTTGTGCTTCTTTAGGCAAAATACAATAAGGTGTATTTCTAAATTTATTTCGTAACTGTGCATAATTCTATCGGAATAATACTATGAGTTTACATGGCAAGTGTTCTTGTTTGCTAACTGTACTTCTTTCAGAAAAAGAGATTTGCTTTTACAGGTACAATGCCAACTCATAATCGCTACTGAAGTCAGTAGGAAACGTGAGTAGGTGAGAATATTCTCACCAGCTCGAAAATAGATCAAAACAATCTACTTGTAGTCATTAAGTTTAGCCTTTCTGTTTGTTAAAAACTGTTGGGAATTTATACTATCTCACCAGATTTTTTTCAACACTTTACAAAAATAAAAAGACACATGTTTTTTTAAAAAATACATTACTAGAGGCTCAACTCATTTTATAGATAACTTGGACAAAAAATGTAGCAAAAGTTCAAGTTTTCCATTGTATAGAATACAGTACATAATTATACAATATATTGTCTATCTTACAAAGCATCTGAGAATAGGACACAATGTGTGAGATCCTAAGTGATTTTAGAGATTAGTTGTAAGGAGAAAATGAAAAGCATTGAGCTAGTAAAGGGGTCCTCACATCTATCATCCTTTATCATGCGTAATAAATAACCTTCAATATATAGAATTAGACTGACAGTAGTCTGACCACATCAGGATCTAGAAAGGGTGGTGTTCAGAATAATAATAAGTAATCATAATAATAAAGTAATCATACAGTTGCCTCAGGTGTGTATGAGGTACCAAATTGTTTCTAGAACTGTTTTTTTCTGGCTTATAGCCTGCGTTGAAAGATAAATAACAGAATCCCTGGCAAGTATGTATTGAGCAATTTTCCTGAGAAACCTTGTAAACATTTGGATTTTGGTATCTGTTCTAACAGGTTAAAATCAGATATGCATATTTCTAATGTGTTTTTTTTAATGAAAGGTATTTTTCCCTAAATGAATTCATGGACTAACTGGGCAAAAGTAGGTTAACAATCAGGAAAACAGGTTACATATTCAGTCTATAAAAAGATTTTTAAATTCAAAAATACTTATCTCTAGCTTAGAAAGCCCCTGAACTGTAAGTTGCTGAAGACTGGCTCAGTATATATACCTTGAAAATACCACTGTGGGATTTTCTGGCTCTCTTTTAATTCTGTTGACAATACTTTGAATTGTCTGTGTTCAAGATGTCACAGCATATATGTACACAATATGGAAGTGCACCAGCCTAGAATATTTTTCTGGGTGAATGGTTATCTGCAAATATGCTTTACATTTCAGCAGCACAGTATAAGGGAGAAGTCAGCTTAAACCTGCTGGTATGAAATGTGAATCATTGTTATATAAAGTTTTATTTTCACATGGAGGGCAGTGAATGTTGCAGTGTAAAACCTAGCAGTCTCTTTTTGACTTTTCTAACAATCCCTTGAAAATCAACACTTCTTAACTATGCAGTGTTGATTTTTAAAAAAGCAATTAAAAAAACTTATGTTGTTGCTTGAGAATCAGGAGTCCATTTTTCTCCGCCTCAGTTAAGTTTTACAGCTGCCACCACAGTTACAGGTGGAAAGACAAAGAGTGGTATTTGCACTATGCTATGAGCTTTCTCAAGATCACAGACTGTAACTGTGAAACAACAGTAAGCAAATGGAATCAACAGGCACTCTCATGTCTGATCAAACCTTGAGAAAAAAAAAAAACAAAACATTTTTTTAAATTTTAAAACCATTTAAAATACCTCACTATGTCCTGCACTCTTTAATCTCTCTATTCTCTTAACATTGCCATCTCCTTTATTTTAATCTCAGTCTATAAACTTCAGGCCATTTTATGTGCATTCTATAGGTTACAAATGATCATTTCTCTTGCTCATTGTCATCAGTCATTAGATCACAGATCTAACTGATCCAGAAGTAAAATCTTTCTTACGCCACTGGCGGCATGTACTTCTTACCTTTCCATTTGTTTTGCTCTGCTGTAGGTGAGACTTTGAAGCTTGTTTCATTTTGCTATATCAACCTCTCTGCTGCTATAGTTGTGCATTAGCTTAATGTGCTATGCTGTTGTATTATAATGTAAAAAGTCTCTTGTCTCTTCTGTCTTTGTCACTGCAAGCTGCTAATCTGAATGAAGTGGAAAAAGGTCAGTTGTCTTTTAAGCCTATTTTCACTTACTTTGGTTTCTCACTTTCCTTTCCTTAAAGGTGCATGGATTTCAGTTCTTACCAATGATCAAATAAATTGTATATAGACATAATTTAGAAAGCTCACTGCAAATCCTCAAATTAGGCACTTGGCTCTTGCTGTGAATACATGTCAAAAGAATGTTGTCGAAGATGCAGATTGCTGTAAAGGAGTAATTTAATACTACATTCATTGTCTTTTTTCAGATATATTAAAAATTTGTGCAGCCACTGATAGGACTAACAAAAATGTTTACATTGTGACCTTCTGAAATATTTTTTTTCTCACCTTAAAGAAATCCCTTGGTTCCATTCTTATGTATGCTCTGTTTTATAGTGCTGTTTCGCTTTAAGTGTTTTATTAGATTTTGCTACTAGAAAGTATGCTAGAATATAAAATGTCAATCTTCTTGCTCATCATTTCCGTGGCCTTTTTTTGCTGTAAATATCTAAAGTAATTGAAATTACCTTATTAGTCTGAGGCTATGGTAGAAGAAAAGTAATCTGGAGAGATTTGTCCCGCTAACTTTTAATGTTTCTGATTTTTGATTTTTTTTTTTTAAGTTTCTCCCTAGCACCTATTGCACTAACAGAAATCACACAGAATCACAGAATATCCGGAGTTGTAAGGGACCCACAAGGATCATTGAGTCCAGCTCTTAACCCTACACAGGACCATCCCCAAGAGTGACACCATGGGCCTGAGGGTATCATCCAAACACTTCTTGAACTCTGTCAGGCTTGGGACTGTGGTGCTTAGCACTTCCCCCAGGGAGCCTGTTCCAGTGCCCAACCACTCTCTGAGTGCAAAATCTTTTTCTAATATCCAACCTAAACCTCCCCTGACACAACTTCAGGCCATTCCCTCAGCCATCTTCTGTGCAGTTTCATCATTTAAGCAATCTGAGAGCTAACATAATCAATGAAAACATATTTATGAAGTTGCATGTTTAGTTTTGAAAGCAAATGAATCATTTTGTAGTGTATTTGCCATTAATTGAATTTTATAAGTATATTTTTCAGTCTAGAAAGCAATATAATACTTCATTAGTATTAAAAATATGTTCATTATCTATGAAATAACATGTTGAGCATGGCTGCAATTATACCGTCTATGTTGATTTCCGATGAATAGTTCTTACAACTTAACTCAGAGCCTAAATTTTCTCTGTAACTGATGCAGATTACAAGACGTTTCCAGAAAGTGATTCCAACCACAAGCTTTCCATGCTTAAAGCTGCATTCCATTTAGATATATTGCCGTATTTGCATTTTATTATTATCTGGACAGCAATAGTAGCCTCCTGTTTTTCTTGTGTATTACACAAGTGTGAATTATATTAAAATTAATGATTATAGAAAGAACAAAATCCTCACAAACAAATTATCAAACACCCAGGGGATGTGAACTAAGTTCAGCTCCAAAATTAGGCAGATGTATATGTAATACATACTTGTATTAGCTTGCCACCTGAACATGAAAGTCATTGATGGTCTCTAAGGTGCTTGGAGGATCAGTCAGTTTTG